ATGTTTTGTATATATCATCATATTTATTCTTTAATCTGACTTGAATATCATTTCTCTTAAAATAGTGACATCATGAGAAAATTATTAAAAAGATTAAATGAAATATTGAAAACAAAGACAACTTACAAACATTTCTTACAGGCCTTTCTTGGATTCATCTTCAATCTCATGTGTATCACGTCCTTTTTTCCCACCATTTGTTTTTCTTAATCGAGGCTTATTCTTTCTGTGCATCATGATAACCTCTTTTGGCCCGTTGGAGTTTTCGGAAGACCAAGAACTTGTAATCTTGTCTTGATCACATGCAGTGGATAAACAAATATCGCAGCGATCGCCCTTGAATTTCCACATCAATCCAAAAACAATAATCCAATAAAACACAACTCACCTAAAAAAAATCATCGATCAAAGCGAAAAGAATCCTAAAGCAGAAGAAATATCATCGAACTTACCAGCGCCGACACCAACACCAGCGTTGCAGATGACATCTCTGATGCTTTGGAAATCACCGGAAGAATCCCCACTCCCACTCATCACTAACAACTTAATCATCTGTTAGCGCTCGCCCGGGACCAAGTTATTATTATTTCATTTTTCGCACTAATTCAACCAGGAACGGAGAACAACACAAGAGACTATAAACTCGTGAATTAATAACCCCCTAAATGGACCGAAAACATCGAAGACCTAAGAAAACGCAAGGACATACTTGAGAGTGATCATGTTTCATGAGGCCCATTAGGGTTTACGAAGCGAGGAGGAGATCCGAATCAGAATATCAGATACAATATTCGATTGCCTTGAGCAGACGCAGGCCAACCTCACGGGCCGTCAAGTTCGTTGCCTTCTCTATCAAACCCTTCACCCTCCCATCATCGTCGCCGCTGCCCCTGTCTCCTCCATCGCTGGAATGATGCGCAACCCGTTGTAGACTTTTCGCGGATTTATTTATTTTTTATCCTTTTTGTTTGTTTTTTGAGTATCCGTTATTATTAATTGCACTTACATGGGAAAAGGATACCACATTTTTATATGTTTATTAGTGGAGGAATGAATACCACTTTAATTCAAGAGTGTTCCGTTTTTATTTTAAAGGCAATAAATTACAATTATGATTTGAAAGGTAAGGTGAATGGTTCAATTACTCCAATAAAGCGTTTTTTAATTTTTACATGGCGAAATTGATGAACCAATAAAAATACAAAAACTTCCATGTAGATGATGATGTGTCATGTAATTATATTGTAAATTTTGCTACGTGACTTTTAATATAGCCAAACGTAATCAACATTTTAATAATAAATATAGTGATTAGTGGGATAATAAATTATGGCGACACGTTTTAATTTTTTTACTCTAATGTGAAATATAATTGAAAATTACAATAATGAATGTATTTAAAACAAAAATAAATCTATGTATTTACTCATACTCAAACGTTTTTTTTATAATTAAATGAATATTTTTTTTTATAAAAAACGATAATTAGAAAATCATTCATTAGTCTTTTAGTGGATATATACATACAATGATGAATATAATGTAAATAAAAATAAAAATATTTATTCTAATTTCGAAAATAATCTTTATAGATATATTAGGTGGCTTCATATAATCTTTTTGATATATTAATATGTTAGTTTATATTAATTAGATACATTGTTTTAAAATCATAATTTTTTCATTTACACACACATATATAATTACACTATATATATATATATATAATTAGAACATCATATATTTTTAACTTACACAATATATATATGTATGTGAATTTTAGAAATATATAAATATTTTTTTACTTTTATTAAATCATATCTTTGATATATTAATTTTTTTAATAATCCTCATGTAATTGTCTAATATTTTTTCATAATTATCCATTTAAATGATAAATATGCTCTTCATTAGATTATATGTCATCATTAGTTTATAAGCCAATCAAAATCTACAAAACTTCCACCTAGGATGCTTAGGTGTCCTCACCAAATCTCTTTAAACATCTTTATTAATATATATATAGATTTGCGTCCGGAAAAGAAAAGATATTCTATTCGCATGTTTCGAGTTCACATTTCCATCTCTATTTTCCTTATTTTTATTTTATAAAAGCGAGTAGAGAAATATTCTACCATACAGTCAAATAATATATATATTTATTTTAGTTTAAAAAAAAGATCGCCTAAAAAATCGCTTGTCTATTATAATAATTAATATATTTCAATTTCAATAGGAATATTTTCAAAACAATTTATATGAATTAATGGTTATATATCCTTACATTCTATACATGCTCATATAATGAAGAAGTCAGATAAAACATGTGTATATAAATGTATAGCAAAGTTGTGTTGGACCGGATGGAAAGGGCATTTTATATTCTTCTTATAGTTTTTTTTTTCATAGAGCAATAAAAGATATTAAATTTGTTATTTAGAAACAGAAATTGAGTGTGATTCGTTATAACGAATTTGATCATAATAGACAAAAAAAATAAATCATATAACACGAAAGGCATTTATAGAGCGATTATCAGAGTAGTAATAAGTAAATCATTCGCACACGTGGCTCAACATGGTCGTTCGTTGTTTGGGGTTAGATGATTGTTTTAAGGGTATTTAGGTAATTCCACTTCGATGGCTCCAAGGCTACAAACCCACTCGCGCTCTTCCCCATTTTCATCCTCTTTCACTGTGGGGAGAGAGAGCGAGAGAGAGAGAGAAGAAGAATACGCAGAATCCGTCCAATTTAGGGTTAGGGCAGTCCGTAATCTTGAAACCTGGTCCCGGTTTCTGATCTGTTTTCCGGATCGGAAGACACGAAGAGGGCGGACAAGAAGTTGCGAAAATGGGCGCTAATTCGCTTCCGACGGAATCAACCCTCGATCTGGATGAGCAGATCTCGCAGCTCATGCAGTGCAAGCCCCTCTCGGAGCAACAGGTGCTCCCGATTGTTCCTTAGATGATAGCATTTTTTGTCATCTTTTGTTTTCCGGTGTTTAATTGGATCCGGGTTTTAGTTTGCTGGTGTGACCGCTGGTGGTAGCGGTGTTTAAATCTCCTGCTATGTTTCGAATCAGAGGGTTGTTTTGTCTTGTTGAGGTCTCATTGAGTATGTGAGTATTGGATTTGATTTCGAGGGTTTTGATTCAACCAAATGAAGATCTTCCGGAAATGGTAGATCTCTTCGTATGTGTATATTCTCGGGGGTATTCATTTGTTTTTAGTATTTGTACGGGCCGAGAAAAATGGTTGATTTACGGTGAATTTTGGCTGCATAGGGCTCTGAATCTGAAGGGATTAGGTCGCATCTAATTTGTCTGATAATGTAGGCTCGTCTGATTACTGGGCTCCTGGTGGTTCGCCTAAGGTTTTAGGTCATTAAGCTGGTGATTGAATGTGGGATCTTCCTGCATCTAGTTGGCTGCATCTGCGGCCGTTTATTTTAGGACAATTAAAAGAAAGCCTAGAAAAAAAGTTCTTGTTTGTGTAAGAGATGTTGCAACTCGGTAAAGACCTTAAAGAGCTAATATTGCGCGAAACCTGATCAATATTTTGTAGGTGGGCATTTTGTAAATTTTCCCGTGGTTGCTGCTTGTGACAAGTTGGTACTGTTCAATGTTTTTAAGTATTATTTGTTATAGTGGTTATTAGTATTTGTCTCTTTTATTTCTTTAGAACAAAAGAGGTGACAGGCGAATTATGATGTGCAGTATTATTTTGTTTTCCTTAGGTCAGAGCACTATGCGAGAAAGCAAAGGAGATCTTGATGGAAGAAAGCAACGTACAGGTCAGTTCTTGATGTCTCATCTCTTTCTATTTGACATGTTTGCCTCTTTGAATTTTCCATCTATCTTGGTGATTATAATTGACGTGGTAGGTTGTGCAGTTAGCAGTGAATTAATTTCCGTCCATATCATCCCTTATTGTTTGATTCAAGGAAAGTAATTCATTTTTTCCTTGCATGCAGCCTGTGAAAAGCCCTGTCACAATCTGTGGTGACATTCATGGACAGTTCCATGATCTTGCAGAGCTTTTCCGTATAGGGGGACAGGTAATTACTTTAGATGTACTATCTTGCATCTTTATAACAAATTGTTCGGTCTAACCAGGGGTTTAAAAGTTCCCAGGAACTGTGTATGCTAGATAATCAGAATACTGTACTTCCGTTTCTCTGCGTTAAGTTTGAAATTGTTAATTAGATTTCTGTTTCAATTTTATATTCTCTTTTTCGCCTGTCATCAATTAGCTCATTGTAATCTGATGCTTGTAAATTTGCTCTTTTTGGCAGTGTCCAGATACCAATTATCTGTTTATGGGAGACTATGTGGACCGTGGATATTATTCTGTTGAAACTGTTACGGTGAGAAGATTTGCTTATACCATCTTCTGACTTCCTTTTTATTCATTGAGGCATACTGTTTGTTCAAGTCTAAAGATACTTTCTTGTATGCTAAGCTATTAAATATATTGTTTACATACTGGGGTTTTGCTATCTACTTTTTCAATAACTTTTTTCTCGGATGGTTACTTGTTTTTCTTTCTTCTTTTTAGTGGAAATAATATATCTTTGTGCCCAATGCTGACAATATGATATTACATGTCATACTAAACTGATTAAGCATCTAGAGTTGCCTCAGTTGATTTGTTTATGTATGTGCTTATTCTGGATTATGATATGAAGTATGTAACTCTTGTCTTTCTTTTCCCCTTTCCAGCTGTTAGTTTCCTTGAAAGTACGGTACCCTCAGCGAATTACTATTCTCCGAGGAAACCATGAAAGTCGTCAGGTATACTAATTGTTTTGTGTTTTCACTTGTACACTGACCTTCTGAGTTAAGCACTATACTGAGATAATTACTCAATCTGGCATAAACAAGACCTTTTTTGTTTGCTTCCCTCTGGCAGATCACTCAAGTTTATGGATTCTATGACGAATGCCTGCGGAAGTGAGTCTTCTGGCAAACATCTATGTTGTGTCTAATCTGCGATTATTAATCCACATCAATCATGCCAAAAAATCTTCTAGTTTGTTAGGATGTCATTTACACTTGTCCTTTTTGTTGTTCTAGCTGCTCATGTCCGTTGGTTCCTAAAGTTGTCGCTTTCTCCCAATTTTTGTTTATTTATATTGATCTTTAATTGGTTGCTCATTAGAATAATGTGGTATTTTTTGCATCCGCAGCATAGTCTTCCACCAATTGCTGTGTAAAATGCATCTGATTCAACATGTATTGCCCTTTTACAGTAGCAGGAAATTCATTTGGGTTATGTCTGCCACAATTTGTTTACCGCAGTTTCATCTATTTGCAGGTACGGCAATGCCAATGTATGGAAAATCTTCACAGACCTCTTTGACTATTTTCCGCTGACAGCCTTGGTTAGTCCTATTACATTACCTTGTACCTTTGTTTCCTCATTTATGAAGTTAGTATCCAGAAGAAGAGTAATCTGATCCTGCATTCTTCTATCCTCCTGTCAATTTGAAGCTATATTTATTCTTAAGATGCTGTCGATAGAGAGATTTAAATTGCATCTGTTAGTAACAACCATTACACTGAAAATGAAACATCTTTTAACTATGACTTGTCTCACTGATCTGAATGTTGCATGAATGAGTTTTTCCACCACCAAACCATCAGTTTATGCATCTCATGTCTTATTTCTTCTTTGCAGGTTGAATCCGAAATATTCTGTCTTCATGGTGGATTGTCCCCATCTATTGAAACCCTTGACAACATAAGGAATTTTGACAGAGTGCAAGAAGTTCCGCATGAAGGACCCATGTGTGATTTGTTATGGTCTGACCCTGATGACCGATGTGGTTGGGGGATCTCACCTCGTGGTGCTGGATATACTTTTGGTCAGGTAAATTACAAAATCTACGTTTTGGAGGGTGGTCCTCAATCTGCTATTGCTCTGGGTAGTATTTGATTGATTATCTTTTGTGCATTCTGTTTCCACAGGACATATCTGAACAATTCAATCACGCTAACAGCTTAAAACTCATTGCCCGAGCCCATCAGCTGGTTATGGATGGATTCAACTGGGCACATGTAATCCAATCGAACCTCTCTTCCCTGCAGTGGTGTTTGCCAGTCTAAGATCCTTCGTTCATCTGTGTATTTTTGTTTCGGTTGGCAGGAGCAAAAGGTGGTAACTATATTCAGTGCACCGAACTACTGCTATCGGTGTGGAAACATGGCATCGATTCTTGAGGTCGATGACTGCAGGGGCCACACGTTCATCCAGGTCTTTTGCATTGCATTGCGTTGCTATCTATATATATATATATAATTTGATGGGCTGGAAGCCTGGTTTCTTTGAAAGGAAAGTAAGTAAAAAGAGCTAAATGGGTGGGATTCTGCAGTTTGAACCAGCACCGAGGAGAGGAGAACCAGATGTTACTCGAAGGACCCCTGACTACTTCCTGTGACTCTCCCCGCCGTAAAGACCCTCTCTCCCCGCAAGTTCGGCTCTACGCAATTGTGTTCAGTGGTTGCTTCTTTTGTTTTGTTTTTTAAATCGATTTTTAGTGTCCTGCCCGGAATAGTGTATTATTGTAGGCGAGGAGGACACTCTTCCTTTGTCCTACTTTGTAGGCAAACGTATCATTCCCACCATCCATCCCCTCAACCCCAATGAGGATGAAGAAGACGAAGAAGAGAAAATGGTAGCAAAGGAGAGAGAGTTGAAATGAAACACCTATGAGATTGTTTGGCTGCTCAGACTCGTGTCTTTACTTGCGAGATATTCTAATTTTATTTTCACGTTGCTTCTTCCCCTTTTCCCGTCCACTGTTCCCTCTCTTTTTTGTTTCAGTTTTGCTATATATTGTTAAGTAGTAGGATTTTTTTTTTAATCATTTACCAAATAAAACCCAGAAACTATTGTTGAAGCAAATGAGGATTCGTGCATCGGGCAGTAAGAACATGTATCAAGACGTAAAAGCTGGGTAAGAAGACCCCTTTCCCTCGGAAGATCCAACATAATGAACTCTTGTACTCATGAGCAGAAATAAGATCGTAAAGAAAACGTCCGACTGAAAAAATTTGTAATTCGAGATTTAATATTGAGGAAAACACAAACGGAACCAATGCGAACAACAAAAGCTTGTTCTCCTCCGACTACTTATCCATTTGGTTTCGATCAAAACAGAAGCAAGTCCTCTGACGCAAAAAAAAAGGGGGGGTTGTTGCTTCTCAGCCACCGAATTCTCTTAGGCACGGTTTCCTCGGTTAAGACTGACCATGCGGCCCGAGCTGTTCCCCGAGCCGCCTCTTCGGTTCTGACCACTCCATTCCCTGTTCTGGTGACCAATCCCCGACATTCGCCCACCTCCTCCTCGTCTTCCTTGTGTGTATGATGACACTCCTCCTGCTACAGCCGCCGCATAGTCCTGTGTGTTGTCCCTTCTCCTTGCGTTAAGATCAAGTCCTCCACCACCTGTCCTCGCCTCCATTGCCCTCTCATTGCTTTCTGCCAGTATCGATAGCTTCTCCGTTAACTGGAAGGCCAGTGCTTGTAGCCTGCTCTCCTTCACTTCCTGGAAGACTATGCATCGGCTTGGCTGGTCCCAGCTCGCATGTATCTCTTCGTTTACCATCATCTTGCTCACAATGCTGTGGACCTCTGCCTCGGATAAATCAAACATCTTTGCCAATTGGTCGAGGCCCATCGACTCGTAAGAGGTCGAGTACGTAAAGAGATACGTCCTTAGTGCCTCTTCTTTGATCCTGGCCTTCACCATATCCAGGACGGTTTCCCGGTTCTTGAGCAGCCTCCAGACATCGAGGGAGTTCAAAACGTCAAAGGCCTTTTGGAAGTCCCCTCTGGTGAGGGCTCGGGTGGCTGCCATCACGTGGTCACGTACATTCTCGGGAGGGCCGGTGAATGCTTGCCTCTCGCTCATCTCGAGCAAGCGGCGGAAATTCTTGCTTATCAGCTTGCGTTTGCCGTCATGCGAGTTGGCCGCCATGTTGGGGACCTCCAGCAGCATTGCACAGATGAGATGAACAGCCTCCAGAAGCTCGAGATTTATGTGCATGTGGTACGGCATTTGTCTTCTTCTTTCCAACCTTTCCTGTCAGACAAAAAAGAATTACACAACGAGCTTCAGTCCAAAACATGAATCCACTGATAAAGAATAATGACAGCACAAAACCTCAAAAATCCCCGAGATTGCAACAGAAAGTAGTACCTGCTCGGGGGTCTTCTCATGATACCGACTTTGAGAGACACCTTGAGCGAGCAACTCCCTCACCCTTTGACCAGAATACAGCTCAGAAAGGCAGCTGTGAGCCTCAGTGATCATTCCAGCCCGGAATGCGCAGAGACTGAGCTGAGCCATGGTCCTGTTGAAGAGGATTTGAGTCGAGATATCCATGTGCTGAATATTGTCCTGCAGATGACTCATCAGCAACAAATCTCTAGCAGTCGAAAACTTGTCCATCAAAGCATGGTGGTAGATATCGCAAAGCATTGCACGGGCTTTGGTCCGCTCATCTCCGTACTTGTAAATAAGAGACACGAGAATATCCATCATAGCTCGGCTACTCTCTGGGAAGGTGGGCTTACGAGGGACCACCTCCGGAACGACGATGAAGGAAGATGGAGGTCCAGCTCCCTCATTCGGTTCCTCACTTTCTTCATCTGCTTCCACCAACTCAGCCAATTTCCTCATAGCATCATAAACTTCCTGTGGCTTGTAGTAAATAAGCTCAACTCGTCTTAAGGCTACCTTGGCACAAGCTTTAAGATCCCCAACTCGCTCTATGTAGTCCTGAATGTTCTGAGCAAGAGCCAAAAACATGGGTTCGTCCCTCAGTCTCTCTACATACTCGCGAGTGTGAGGATCTATGCACTGCAAGCTCTTGAAAAACTCGGTATCTATCCTCTCTAAGAAGGCAACCAAGTTACCCCAGACCCGAATCGTTCCGTCAAAATCAGCTGGTTTTTGAGTTTCATTCTCATCAGGTTCAACTGTATCATCCACAACAATGTTAGTGTACTTGACAAGAATGTCCAGTATGGTGAGCATGTTCTGCACACATTTCTTCCAGACATTGATAGGCATGTGTCCGCTGAGACCTGGATTCACATCAAACTGCGCAGAAATAACACTAAACAAGATTTCGAGCTTCTGTGCAGGAGTCTTGGCAATCTTGGTCAAGAATGTAAGCTGTTCAACCTGTTCAAATCGACCGGTTCCCTTCCTACCACGGGCAGCCACAATTTCTTTGAACTTCTTGTTGACAGTATCCCATGTAATCTCCTTAGGATCTTTCATAAACAACTTATCCATAAGTTTATCTTTCCTACTGAGCATCTTCTCCCACGAGCGATCCCCCTTGTCTGCAGATTCCTCCTCGTCCTCTTCTTCAGATTCTGGCCCTAGGTTTGGAACATCTTCCTCAAACTCGTCTTCCTCTTCCTCATCTTCATCTTCATCATCTTCCTCTTCCTTCTCTCCCTCACTCTCTGGAGACTCCCTATACTTATTAATTGCATCTTCATACTGCTTATTGTTCTTCTTCAATTTCTGTTTCATCGAGTTCAATGCCTTGGAGTTACTGGGGCTCATCTTCTTCTTGGCTTCCTTATTTGCCAGAGTTTGATTTAAGAAGTCCTCCAACATCACAAGGGTTTTGATGTACATTGTAGGAACCTTCACAGCCTCCGTAACCCTCATGACCTTTTCCAGCTGTTTGTTGAGTTTCTCAAAATTCTCCTGCAGGCTAACCCAGTCATTGATCTTCATGGCATTCTTCATCTGTTCTATGGTGCTTGTCATCTCTTCAAAACGCTTATCTTTGGCTGACCTAACCACACGCCTCTGCCCATCAGAATCATCGCTGTCACTTGCATTACCTGGAAGGTAACGTGAATTAATCCCACCGGCAGAATCACCGCCTGGGACCTCATCGACCTCTTCCTCATACTCACTCTCGTCCTCACTGTCACTTCCACCCTACAGGCAAGGAAAAAAATCGATGTGAAAAAGGAAGAAAGCACACAAACGAGGCAAGTCAATATACCAAAGTAAAACAATTGTGATATAGTGTACAAGAGTTGGGGAATGAAACCTGGGCAAAAAAACGAGAAGCCATCTTTCTCAGCAGAAGCTAAACACACGAAGGTACAGGGACCTGCAAGCCACACGAGAAAATACAAGATAAGGCAATTGAAGGCAAAGAACTCAATAAAACCCTATGCAAAGTAAAATTAAACAGAATCATAGTAGAACCACTACACATATCTAAAAGAAGAATCCACACAAGAAGCTAATTCAAATCCTCCTACACATAATAAAATTTCCCCCATTAAAAATTCGGTGTAACATCAAACAGCATAACTCAAATCCCGCGGAAGAACAAAAAATCGATTTTAAGCACCGATACTCAAGCACAAACGGTGGAAACCCCTGTAATCGATCCTTAAATTAACTATTCCCTGTTCAACTTAAGACAGAAATCGAACAGGAAATATCCATACAAAACACAAACCGATCGCAGAGAAAATATGCCGAACAAGATATAGATCCAGAGCAATCAAGAACTGCACCTGAATTGAAAAAGATAGGGTTGCTGTGATTGAATCTCCCGAACTCCGATCTGCGCGTGAAAGGAACAAAGGATAGAAACCCGAAGGCCGAACGCAAATGTGTGGCCGACGTAATATATTCCGTGTGTACGATACGCTTTAGGGTTTTGCGATTAGGGACGGTACTCTTATTTTCTTGAACTTCCTAATTTGCCCTCGACTGCCCTTGGTTATTACGATTTTGGGCTACCGTCACCTGTTGGCTCAGAGTCGACGTGTCTCTTAAAAGCTGACACGTGTGCTTAAAAATACCCAGATTCGAGAGAATATATGGCGGTCGATAACTAATCATGGCTAACAATTTTATTATGTTTGGTGCGCAATTTCGTTAGAACATTACAACATATTGAATTCGTTAACATATAATACATTTCAGCCAGTTCAATATTTTTTTCGGAAATTCTCCCTATCTTAAACACATGAAGAACTAGTTTTTTTTTTCTCTCCAAAATTTGCCCTACCTTGCATCCTAAGTAATCCAAAAAACAAAACCAGACGGTCATTCAGTACATGATTCTGCGCAACATAAACTTATCACCCAAATTCTTCTCCCTTGGCTTGTTCCTCTTCTTGTCGGGTACGAGGAAGATGAACTGTGAGAGCTTGGGACATTAGTGTTTGCTCAAGAATTAAAAGTAGGGTGTAGCTACTGGACAAGTGGTAAGAAGATTTCATTCGTTTTATGTGAATCTATTCGCTTCTCGAAAAACAATGTTTGTAAGATATAAATCCATCATTTACACTCTCGTGGAATGTGCGGAAACTGCAATTGATAACAGATTCGATCTCTCAGTCTTCAAGTCACTTGGTATGGTCTGGTTTGATTTCGGCACTGATCAACCTCTCAACTGGCCCTTCTACAATGGCAAGCTATCCTCCAACGGTTACCTACTAAGGATTGGCTTAGCCGATGAAGAATGCTATCCGGCCATCAGTCTCTATGCCGCCAGACGCACCAACACCTCTTCTTTTCCTTTCCCTTTAGCGTCGAGGTATGGTCACACTTTGCCCGTGCGTTGTTGTTGGAGTTCCCTGCCTCTTTGATTGTCTGATTGTTTGAGTTGGATAACACGACCATCTAATGACCAGAGTAAAAGTCGGACTATGATTGTCAAGCTACTACTACAGTCCGTCGCTTATGCAATATGGCGGAAAAGAAACAACTGAATCTTTCAAAACCAGGAACAACCTATCCATGTCATCCATCGGAAGCCAGATCACGGAATGAGGAATGCTCTCCTTTCTATCCAAGGAGGACGAATGGCAGACTGCGATTGGATTTGGTTTATTTGATAGAATCAAAACGGGCATAGTCTTGAGAATGGATTAGAAGTCTGGTTCATAGAAGGTTCTAAAAATCTTGATGGAAAATCTGCAGAATAATGAAAAAATATTCTTGATTGATTGGAAAGTGAAATCGTAATAAAATCGGCAGAAAATTCATTGATTATGGTATCAAATTGAAATCTAATTGATTCTATATATATTAATGTGAGATAATCTCAACTAGTATAAGTAGGGGTCTTGTTTATCTCATTTGACACACCACAACAAAAAACTATTGAGCATCCACAACTATGCTCATATCTCTCTTTGAGTTCGCTTGGTATTCGGAAAAAATTTCTTCCGAATATGCGATCGTTATATCCTACGAATTCACCGTACTCCAATAACCTCAAAACTTTAGAGATGACACGAAAATCGAATTTAAAGAAACTATGTTTCACAGATCTTGACAAATAATTTTTTTTTATTATAGATATTAATCTGAAATCGTTCGGATTGACATAGTTTGTCGTCGTCAACAAGTGTCGTACCCAACTGAACATTGGTTCAAACTTACGTCATCTAACACCATCCTTTTGTAATAGTTGTTTCCGGGTTCAATCTGTGTACACTTCTTACCCATGGGTCTCCCTACAGCCTTCTGTAATACGGTGTAAGGAGTGGCTTGTAAACCAAATTTTGATTCAAATATAAATCTGTTATTCCTCTTATATGATTGATGATTCTTCAGCTGTCTCTTTGACTCTTGCAACTGTGCTCTTGATATTGGCAATGGCTTCTAAATCCTCTTCAGTCGTCACCTGTACACTGCTCTGCGGAGAAAGAAGAGGGAAAGCCTCACGACCTGGTTTCAATGGAGAACATCTCGACCAAACACTAAGATGCACACGTGTTTGAAGACGGGTGCCTGAATCATGACCGTTAAAACTGATTGACCGGCAGAATGTTTTCGTTTCGGCCGAGCCAAGACTCAGAGGATCTGACGAGTGCTACCCAGAACATGTGTTGGACAAGGAGGTTTCTGTATGACTGTAAAACCAAGAATGTACAAAAACCATAAAATAGTGATAGATGCAAGCTTCTGTTTTTGTCAGAAAATGGCAAACAACAAAGAAAGCTACTCTCGACCCTGAGAATCTGTCACCATGTAAGCGCATATGAACCCAGAACAAGATCCAGGCACAATATCAAAACTTGGGATAGTTAAGATGTCGACATTGAGACATTACGTCAAACACACTATCATATGCGAATCTCACAATACAGACAAGCAGAGAGCATGATCCTTTCTTCCAAAGACGCAACCTTTCACATTTTCATGATATTTCACGACAAACAGACCCATGAGGGAAAATCTCTGCGTTCCGACTCAAACCCACGAACCGAAAAAGCAAAAGGAGGAGCTGGTAGAACCAGAACTTGATGTTTGAGCCAGCCAGAACCCAAGAGAAGATGGTCACAAAGGAACTGGCAATGATGAAAGAGATAGAGCGAACTGAACAACAGAATGAGTTCATGGGAACAATGGCGGCCATTTTTCGCTTTCGCTTTCAAAGATGCTCAAGTAACTACAATACCACGCCGCAGTTTTGTTCGGATTGCTTACATATATAACTGGCAATCATTTCGTTTTTTCTTTTTTTCATATGAAATAAGAACAGGGATTTATGCCTTTTCTGTGTGATTTCGTAAGAGCTGTATTTGGAGACTGCGCCATTCCGCCATGAAACTTGATAGATCTATGAACTGTTTACGACAGTCGATGCAAAGAACAAAATCCAAACCGCCATTGTAGATACTAACAAGTACCTGTACATAAACTTCTGGTATACTGATTCTTTATACCATTGAAGTCGCTTCTCAAATTGCCCATCGGATTTCGCAATAAATTCCAGTTTCAAGATCTTATTCTGCTGCTCTTGCATTGTAAAAACGAGCAATTGCTTTCAACAAAAGGCGAGAAACCAATCAAAGAACGACACCTCGATCGACTAAAACTAAGAGAATGATCAGATAGAGCTAATACGTGAGATGCCATCATCTCGGCGATCAAACCAATAGGGAAACAATAACTGTGTTCATCATTTCATTCTCTTTTTTTTTTCTCTTTATCCGACAACCAAAACGAAATTTCAGACAACGAAGAACAGTTAAATTGGAATCCAGGAGGAGGAGGAGGATCAGATAGAGCTAATACAAAGGTCGATGCCATCATCTCGGCGATCAAACCAATAGGGAATCATCTTTCTATCATCATTTCTTCCTCCACTCCCAACGATTCAACGAAAATAACAAGGAAAAAACGCAATCTTTTCTTCAAAACTAGAGAACAAAACCACAGAGCAAACCCAAATTCGCATATCCAATGGAGGACTGCAACCCATAAGAACAAGCCTCGGAGAAGACGACGAACGATGGCAACATAACGGAACCCTAATCTAAGTAGACGCTTATATACACAATTTTACTGTCGATTGGTGACATTAGGGTTTGTTTGGGTTCCCTCCAGTTTTTCCTAATGACGCAATTGCCCTCGTAGTACCTTTTAATTTACATTGGGCCGAAAATGGGCCCAATTAAGCCCATAAGTCAGTATACCAGTTTGGAGAAGTGCCGAGTCGGTGACGGCGACTCAGTCGGTCATCTGTCTCTCACTCTCCGAGTTGTTTTTCGGCCTTTCTCCGGCTCAGTGGTTAGCTTTTGACACGCGCCGCGGCTTTCCCCGGCGGGTTCTCACGTCGGGGCGCATTCTATCTTACTTTCTGCGGCAATTTTTCATCGGAATAAGGAAACGTGGTTTGGCAGGAAAATCCATTTCTGAGTTTGCCCAATGGTTAATCAGTCGATGAATCGTTTTCGCTACAGTTTCTGTAAGCTCTCGTTACTCTTGCTCTCTCGTCTAGAACTTTCTCGCCTTTTCTTGATGGAATCTTTTTTCAATGGTTAAACCGATGGATGCTTCCTTTTTTGTTATCATTATTTCGTTTCTCCGGTCCATGATACGATGGTTGAACATTGACGTCTTCGAATGGTTCGATGAAGAACAATTTGTATACAAATTGTCAGTTGTCTAATGATATTTCTCTGTGTCGGTGTATTTGAAATTAATTGTTTGAAAAATTCCTGCTTTCTTCGCTATGGTTTTGAGAAATTGTGTTGGTTCGGTGGCGTCTTGCAATCCCTCAATTTCGTCTTATATAGTTTGAAAAAGGCTCTAACTTGGTATTGATTCTTGAGAATTTCCAGTTTCAGTTATAGAAGATTCATCGCTCAAGAAGAGACAAGGGCCGCACCAAGGAATCGTTTACAATGTTATCAGCCGTTTTCAGTCGCAGTTGTCAAAATCAGACAAGCCGGAAAACGAGTTAGAACAGGTACAGGGAGTGAAGGAGACATCTACTAATGTCTCTTTGAGGTCTGAGATTCAGAAGAGGAAACGCTATGATTCTGGGAGTGACAGTTATAGCTCGGGTGATGAAGATACAAACGATGGAAAATGGAAGTTGGACTTAGCCTGGCTCACGAAGGCCCTCGAACCAGCTCTGCAATTGCGTAGGTGGGCTCTTCCAACAGGTCTGTTTGTGTTGAAACATGTAAAGGATTTGCATGATGAACTAAAGTCTTAACTTGTACAATTGAATTACACTCTCAATGGCATGCTCTCATGGAAGTAGTCTCTTCCTGAACATTTCAGTTCTGCGATTTATTCAGCGCCATGGATACTAACGCATTCTGTAATGCACGATTTCGTAGGATCTGGAGAGAAATCTCCCTCTAGCACTCGATCTGTCTCGGAGATCATTGCCAGCATTCAGAGGAGTAAGATTGGGGTTGAGGGTTGGACCTTGGGTGATCTTACAATCGGTCTATATCTTATATACCTCCGACAAGCATCTTTGAATCCGTCTGAGGATGTCAAGGGTGTAGAAGTTGTGTCAGACTCTACAGTAAGAACGTAATTCTTATCATTGTCATGTCGATGTTTCGGTGCGAATGGATTCATACACTATCTCCATGCCAGTGTTTATGTAAAGCTTTGATTCTGTGCAGGTTCATGATCTGATATACCATACCGAGTTAGCCAAAGGTTGTTACAGGGATAACGTCGCTGGTCTTGCAAGGAACAGTATGCTTCGAGAGAAAAACATTGTGAAATTTGTAAAGGATTCCAGCGTTATGAGGCCTGGATACTACATAGGAGTTGATCATCGGAGGAAGCTCGTGATCTTTGGAATACGGGGGACACATACCATCTATGATCTTATAACTGACATTGTTTCTTCAAGCGAGGATGAGGTCACTTTTGAAGGATATTCGACCCACTTTGGAACTGCTGAAGCTGCACGCTGGTTTCTTAACTACGAATTAGAAACCATACGGAAGTGTTTGGAGAAGTATGAGGTGACGATGATAAGAGCATAGTTTCCTCGATGTTTACTTTTCTACCCGAAAGCGCCATCATAAGTCATACTAAGATGGAATTTGTTTATAATTTACTTGAACCACGTACAGGGATACAGGTTAAGGTTGGTTGGTCATTCTCTTGGAGGTGCTATAGCTTCTTTACTAGCAATAATGCTCCGTAAAAGGCCCCAGAAGGACTTGGGATTCGACCCTGAAACTGTTTCGGCAGTTGGGTATGCAACACCTCCTTGCGTTTCGAAAGAGCTTGCAGAAAGTTGCTCCGAGTTCGTTACAACAGTAGTAATGCAGGTGAAAAGAATCACTGACTACATTTCTGGCTATGTGTACGGTAGATGATGATATCTCGTGATTTATTGCTGCAGCTTCCACGTCTGTATTGTCGTCCTTCCTTTGTTTTAGTGGCTTACTTCAATTCAACCCTTTACAGGATGATATTATACCTAGGCTAAGTACAGCATCTCTTGCAAGATTGAGGAATGAAATCCTACAGACTGATTGGTAAGAAGCATGCCTCTTCCAGTTGCTTTTATTAACTTCAACTTGTTTCCATATTAGAATAATTCCTTTTTTTCCTCCTAAGGAAATGAACCGGTATAATGCGGCCTCGTACTGTCAATGCAGGACAAGTGTGATTGAGAAGGGAGAATGGAAAAGTGTTATAGATTTGGTGACAAACGCAAAGCAGGTTGTCTCCTCTGTGCAAGATGTAGCACGAAAACTTTCAGAATATGCAAAATTCAGCAAGAAGACAGACTTCTCTGGTAATTACTATCCTCCTCAAATGCCAGACGTGCATTTGCAGAGCAACTTCAGAATTTTTGTATTGGCCATTTTCCTTGATATTTGACTAATATGGTAAATATATGATGACCCAGTCTTACAAGGAATACTCCCTAACATTGTTATGGACTTAGGTTATTATGATTGTATCTCGTGTTTTCATGATCCACTTTCTCTTTTCTTGCCCTATGACCAGATAGTTCCACCATGAACGGATCATCTGCTGCTCCCGCTGTCCCTCTGATCTCCGAGCCAGCGACAGGAGCTGGTAATGCCTTAAAGAAGAAGGAAACCGACGTCAGTGAGCCTGAAGAGTTATATGTACCTGGAACGGTATACTATCTGAAGAGAAACCTACGCCGAAAAACCAAAAGCGGAGGAGGGAAAGGAGTAGAATATTTCACATTGTGGAGGAGAGATCCCGGCCTGCATTTCCAGAGAATAGTTCTGTCGGGCAACTTCATTTCGGACCACAAGTGCGACAGCCATTACTACGCCCTGCGAGATGTGCTCAAAGGATATAAGGGTCACATCGAGGAAGAAATCTTCAGAAAGAGAGATGAGTAAAACATAATCCTCGCCATTCTCATCTATTTCCTTCCATTTGGATGAACGTACGTTTGCCTGTACCATAAAAGCTGTGAATCTCCGGACCTTTTGTCTCTGTGTCTGTTTCATGAAGAATTGGATCAATGGCAGCTTAGCTGCTCTTTGAGAAGAGGGGTTTTGTTTTGTTTTCAGTCACTCTTGGCTTTGATTGGCACTTTATGAGTGGTTTAGATAAGCAGGTTAACCCTAGGGTTATAAACCTAACTCTCCACGCCAATCCAATCAAATAAATTGTATTGGTCATACTTTTTTTTTAATAAATAACAATATAGTATTATATATATATTGTTGCTTTGTTAAATTGTACAATGCATCATTTCCGAAATATTTAAAACCAAGGCGGCATTCTTTATTTTTATTTTTCCATCTTGTATATGCATCACATAAAGTCGTCCTCTTTTTCGTTTGGAATTTATATATATATATATATATATAAAGCTTCTTTTAAACCCAAGTACTCAACAATTCTCCCAATTGTCGGGCTATATATATATATATGTGTGTGTGTGTGTGTTTCCACGTTATCTAGAACATAATTTGTATTATGTCATGTCTTTTTTCATCGTTTTGCCACTGTAACAATTGAACCTAAAGCCGTAGCGGTAAATCCAATAACAACAAAGGATGATTGCTGAGTATGAACTAATTACATCTGTTCCCATGGGTACAAAGGATAATTATTGAGTATTATTTTTTTATATATGTTCAAGTTAGATGTTTCTTGGATTTTTAGACATTATTAATCTAAGAAAGATAGGGATAATAGAAATCGCATTTTCGCTTTGTTTTTTCTTTTGGCGAGGAACGACGAGGGACAAAGTGAATTAATGATTTGAAGAAAAAGTACTTTAGGTTTCACTGATTGACATAGAGTGGAGTGGGGGGGGGTAAACCCTAAATTATTTTCACCTTTAATCGTCAGTGCTTACAAAATTTGTCTTTCCTCGCCGCAATTTTCATCGCGGTGTTTTGATTCAATCAACTCCCCACACCCAAATTACCTATAACCATTTCCTTTCTTATTTAACGCATAATTATAATATATATATATATATATGCATCATTATATTGAATTAAGAGAAATCGAGTTTTGAATCCAGAGAGTATATGATTGGAGCTCCACGAGGAACATCGTTTAGGACAGCTCTGGCGGTCCAGGTGTATTTTCTTCTTTTCTTATATAACATTAAGCATTAACGCCAAAGCCTTAGAGAGAGAGAGAGAGAGATGAGCAGTGATGGCTCATCTGTAGACAGCTAGATGAAAGAAAATTGTACGTTTCATTATTAAAAAAAAAAAGAAAATTGTGCGTACAAATTGGAACAAGAAGTGCATGAAACACTATGTTTTGTACCAAGAAAAGTTATATATTCGTCTGGTATAAATCTTGTAAGGATAGGGCTGTTGTCGTGGGGGCTTGCATCATTTTTATTTAAATCTTCTCTTACTTTTTGGCCAATTAATTAAACAAGTTCCTAATTATTGTTTTTCCTTTTGTCTCGATATAAAAAATACGAGTTTTTTTAATTTCGAGGAAACGCCCACTAACAAAAACATGTACACGGAAATATATATACAAACAAATTAATTAATTGGTCGTTTTCTTGTATTGTATTATTAACGATGTGTTATGTTCGTTCCTAATTACCGTCTCTAACTTAATTGATTAGATAAACCGTGTCCTTGTATTAAGGTTCGGACTTTGAAATTCTGCCTCTTGTTCAAAAGCACATACTCAAAAGTCCTTGTCTTTATTTGTTGTAACCCTTGTTTTAGTTCGATTTATAAGATCCTTATATTAAATTTGTATGCATACATGCACTTCTTTGACTCGGAAGTATTTCCCCTTCATTACCCAACAACATCACTTTCATGGCCCATTCATGTCCATCATTCGAAAACTCGACATTAATGACCTTAATCATCTGCCGAATGCATCATAATAACACATATATATGTATATATATATATATATATATGCTTAGGTTATATAAAATGCATGTGTATCTTTTCAAAATCTCATAAAGAAATTAATGCGTTTTTTGGGTAAATTGTATAAGTCGGCTTGCATTTGAATATATTAGTTGACGTTCTTTACACCAAGTAAATAATGTATGTATGCTTTTGTTGAGAAATTATAAATTTCTACCTAAATCAATCAACTGTGTGCAAAAATAGTATTCAATAATAACATATTTGTAATGTGTTAAGAGTATAGAGAAATTGACCTAATTTTTAATATATTATGTGTTAAGGAATAAATTATCCAAATTTAGCATACGAATAGACTGATCGGAAATTGATATCTTCTAGATTTAAACGCGGTTTTAGAAATTATATAACAGCCCTATAAATGTGTGTCTAATTTAATATACGATTATTCGCCTAATAATTATCTAAAATAATCCAAGAGAAGGAACTAAGCTTTTGAAAATTCTATATATGATCATGTAATCATCGCCATGATCTTAATCATATTTTTCATATAGACATCATAGGGAATCTATCGAATTATATATATATATATATATATATATATATATATATATATAATAATGCGTACGTGCAAAGATGTACGCTCGTATTAATTAAATACACTAATTTGATATTATTGCGTATACATGCTACCACCTATATATAAATGTAGGATTTTGCATAACTTCGTATACGGTAGATCAGTATAGCAACTAGATTGCATTGGCGAATTCTCTCGGAAGAAAGCATAAAATCTGATCAGCCAAAATTCTGACACACGTGTGATGGACCCACGTGGGTCATGTTTGTCGGCGTTGACCGTTGTCAGAGCAAGACATGTCAGCATCATTTTCCAACACTTTTCACTTATATATATATATATATATATATATATATATATATATATATATTCTTATTCTCATCGATTAGCAAAACAATAATGCAAAATCCAAATCAAATCAGTCGTACCAAATAAATATATCATTTGCAAATCAGCTCCTACAATAACGCGATGTGCTGAGACATTTAAATTTAACTTGAAAAACAAATGATTAATTTAATTATACATGTAATGAATAAAGAATTAGTATATATATAATTCACGAAGATTTATCTACAACGTAATTTTTAGTATTTAGTACAAAGGATCAGGACGTGATTAATTAAGAGAGCGGAAAAAAGAAGAGGGGAGGGGGGTGTTGATGAGTTGGCAAGAGAGGGTGGGTGACGTGGACAACTGGTCAAAGTCAATGAACTTACAAATAATCACCCGTGCGGCGATATATGTTTTCGCTTGAACCATGTTTTTTCACGGATTTTATTTATATTACGACCTTTTCAAATCTTAGACCTGATTTAGCGATTTTTTTTTGCTAAATAGATTTCGCGATATTTCTTATACATAATATATATGGATTCGAATTTGTTCCTATATTTCGATAATACCACAGAATCACGTAGACACACACACACATACATATATATATATATATATATATATGAATAACGACAAATTAAATTTCTTAACACCAATGATTAATAATCTGTCAGCCCGGTGTGATTTGACTAAGAGGAAATCAATCAGCTAATTAACCGCAGCTATTTTATTTGTAAATCGAATATTAATTAGTATATTGTAAATAAAAAATTAATGATGAAGAAGGGTATCGAAGGCGAAATGGGAGCGGCGAAGACAAGAAAAGCTGTCTGCTTGGAGAAATAATGCCGACAAATTATTTGTTCTTAAGATGGAAGATGACTTAATCAGGTTTTGTTCGGTCGGATTGTTTCTTCAATTTGAATTAAATAAATAACAAAGTTACGTGCAAAACGGATAAAATAAATAAATAAAGTCCCTTCGTTACACCAAGAGGCCTCACTACACTCCAATCACGAGGGGGTTATATGCATACATAAATACACACACACACATATATATATATATATATATATATATATATATATATATAATATGCATGTGTAGATTTAGCGATATGCCCATATACAGCGATGAGGTGATAATTACTACTGAAGAAGTGTATATTCAGACTGAAAACGTGTGGAAAAGTATTGCTAGGGAAACGATTTGATCTTATAACATAACCAATTTTAAATGGAAATATTTGGACGAAAATGGCAAGCTTGAATTAATAACGGGTGCTTTATAACAAGAGTTTTTCATGAAAATAAATTCAAAAGTGTAGGATTGTACACTTTTCTTTGGGAATATTATATTGGTTCAGGAATATTACTTGGACCTATTTGTAGAAAATGTATTTGGTTCAATTAGCCATCGATATTATTTTTACGATATAATTGACTATATATATATATAAGCTAACTTCCTACTTTAATGGTATATTTTATGTGGGAATTGTACAGAGCTTAGTGACCATGTAGACTATGTGGTAACACATAACATAGTAGAACGGATTAGGGATGTCAATTGACTTGACCCAACCCATTTGGGTCCAATCCATTTGGATTTGAAGGATAAACGGGTTGGGTTGGGTCGATCCGTTAATAATAGTGGATGAGTTGGGTCGACCCACTAAACCTGTATAAACCATATAAATCCATTTTTATATTCACAAATTACTTATATACATATAACTATTAATATGTATATTTATATAACCTAGAAATTATCATTTTAATATTCGATCTGGTTTATCCATTCAATAAAAATATATATATAACTGGATATTATATTATATTCGATAGTTTATAAGCAAAATTATATATTTCTTTAAAAAAAATAAGATTTTTTTATTTTTTAAATTCGATTCGATGTTTTCAAAATATTGTCGTTTAGATTTTTTGAACGGGTCAGCTAAAAAACGACACCGATTTTTTTAATATGATTCGATTCAGAAATGGTTCGAGTTTTCCGCTATGATGCGAATTTTCGGTACGATTCGATTCGGAACAGTACCGAGTTTTTTTTATACGATTTGAATTTTTTGGCACAATTCGATGTGAAAACGACACCGAGTTTTTTGATACGATTCGATTCGGAACGGTACCGAGTTTTTTATATGATTCGAATTTTTCGGCAAGATTCGATTCGGAATCGACACCGTATTTTTTGGTACGATTCGATTCGGAACGGTACCGAGTTTTTTATACGATTCGAATTTTTTGACACGATTCGATTCGGAAACGATATCCAGTTTTTCGGTACGATTCGATTCGGAACGGTACCGAGTTTTTTTATACGGTTCGAATTTTCCGGCATAATTCAATTCAGAAATGACACCGAGTTTTTCGATATGATTCGATTCGGAAACAAAACCAATTTTTTTGGTTCGATTCAGAACGATATCGAGTTTTTATACGATTCAAATTTTTCGGCACGATTTGATGCGAAAACAAAACATAATTTTTCGGTACGATTTGATTCGAAAACGATACCAAATATTTCGATTTAATTCGTATATATATATATATATATCTATATATGTTAATTTTTATATATCTAAATATAACAATTTTAATTAGTTAAAAGATGAGTTTAATTTTAACTAAATATATAATGATGAATTTAATAGGTTAACCATTTAACCCATGGGTTTAATGGGCCAAAACCCATTTAACCCATTTTAAAAAATTAACCAAATGTCCATTTTTATATTCACAAATTACTTATATACATATAACTATTAATATGTATATTTATATAACCTAGAAATTATCATTTTAATATTCGATCTGGTTTATCCATTCAATAAAAATATATATATAACTGGATATTATATTATATTCGATAGTTTATAAGCAAAATTATATATTTCTTTAAAAAAAATAAGATTTTTTTATTTTTTAAATTCGATTCGATGTTTTCAAAATATTGTCGTTTAGATTTTTTGAACGGGTCAGCTAAAAAACGACACCGATTTTTTTAATATGATTCGATTCAGAAATGGTTCGAGTTTTCCGGTATGATGCGAATTTTCGGTACGATTCGATTCGGAACAGTACCGAGTTTTTTTTATACGATTTGAATTTTTTGGCACAATTCGATGTGAAAACGACACCGAGTTTTTTGATACGATTCGATTCGGAACGGTACCGAGTTTTTTATACGATTCGAATTTTCCGACACGATTCGATTCGGAAACGATATCCAGTTTTTCGGTACGATTCGATTCGGAACGGTACCGAGTTTTTTTATACGGTTCGAATTTTCCGGCATAATTCAATTCAGAAATGACACCGAGTTTTTCGATATGATTCGATTCGGAAACAAAACCAATTTTTTTGGTTCGATTCAGAACGATATCGAGTTTTTATACGATTCAAATTTTTCGGCACGATTTGATGCGAAAACAAAACATAATTTTTCGGTACGATTTGATTCGAAAACGATACCAAATATTTCGATTTAATTCGTATATATATATAAATATCTATATATGTTAATTTTTATATATCTAAATATAACAATTTTAATTAGTTAAAAGATGAGTTTAATTTTAACTAAATATATAATGATGAATTTAATAGGTTAACCATTTAACCCATGGGTTTAATGGGCCAAAACCCATTTAACCCATTTTAAAAAATTAACCAAATGTGCTAATCCATTTGGGTTTATAAGTGGGTCGGGTTGAGTCGACCCGTATAACCCGACCCATTTTGACATCCCTAGAACGGAATAAAACTAAACAAATAGAATAATGAGGAATTTTTTTGTAAAATTTTAGCGTCGAAAATATTTATAAAAACATAAAATATCCCAATTATTAAGGTAATAATAATTTTTTTAATAGAATAAGTTCTTATATATAATTCAGAAATCAACCCACGTTTATCCTTAGTTTTATATATATATAAACTCATGGGCCGCCCCCGCTTTCCTGCAGCTCTTGATATTGTTGTTTATTTCAAATTGGTTGCAGACAAAAAAAAAAGTTGAGAGAAAAATATCTTATATTTACTTATAATTGTTTCTTCCATTATGTATAAACTATTTACTAAATATATATATATATATATATTATGATATACACGCACATATGTATGGACATAGTACGTACAATCTTTTTTTCCCTATATATAATTGTATTTTATTTGTAGAATAGTGGTGCGAAAAAGATAATGTATTTTGAGTGACATTATTGTTAGGGTTTTGGGGCGTGGGGACTCGGTGGCCACCTGAGAAAAGGTCTGCATGTTGGTGCCTATGCGTGACACAAAATTAGTTAATTAATTACTTTAATTAACCATCATTAGGATTTAAGTTTATAGCTTCATTACTTTTATATTAATACGTTTTATTAATTTTTCTAATCGATCGTATTGCTCGACAACCCTGACCCTTCTGTTCAAGTGTATCTAATACCGCATACTATGTCTCTCCACTGTCTCTTCATTCCTTTGTCAATTGACTCAATTCCAATTCTATGTAATATAATATATATAATTCCATAATTAATTTCATTAGTTACGTCGACAAGGAATCAAATCGGATAGTCTCCGTACTATTTCCAAGGTTTTCTTAAGTTTTATTCAAAAAATAAATGAGACAGAATTATATATATACACACACACACGAATCGCATATAATAATTATACGATATAAAATGATGAGATATAGAACATTGAACGAATCTTATGGTAAACATATGATTGTCACTTTTTCTATCGCATTTCGTGTATGTAACTTTTTTATTTCTTCAAAAAATCCATTTTTTTTGTCAAAGATAAAAAAAAATCCATTTTTTTCAAAAAATCCATTTTTTGCTCAAAAAAACAAAGTATTAAAGATCATATACATACACATCATGGTCATATATATGTTTGTGTGCGCGAGATGTGTATGTGTATGTAAACACACATGATATAAGAGCATGTTTGCATAATTCTTGTTACATAAATGGATCCCTGGATTTTGAAGGAGGAATATCATACTAGAGTGAAGGGAAGAAAATCTGAGAATCTAAGCGGATAGCGGGTCCACAATAGCCTCTTCCATATATATATATATATATATATTTGCACGTATATATTACTTAATTTATGTATAGCATATATGCCTAACGGTTTTCATTTTAATCTCATTAGTGAAATGCAGCCACAACGGTTGCCCTTTACACTATGTAAATCCTTAAGGAGTATATTCTGAAACCATATATTTAATTAGCTACCGTGCTATGGTTTACATAATGATCAACCACAGACATCATCTATTAATAATGTAGTTATACCCAGTAGTGATTTTTTAATTAAAATATATTTTTTTATAATATAAAATCTTAAATTGTTAGAAGGGTTTGGTTAGAAACGTCTGATTTTTATGGTCTGCTTTAGGTTAAATCAGAGTGGTTTAGACGTTTAATAAATCAGTATATATGTATGTATTTGTTCTAATAGTCTCTAAATTCAAATAAATCTAATTAACAAACTATATGTAATAAAACTCTTTTTTTATAATATATACTTGTATAATTATTATATGATAAAATGTTATCTATATATATATATGTATAATCTGAATGAATGTATATATATTGTACGCTGATTTTAAATTTTTCTAAATCGGATTAATTATACAAGGACGTTATAAAAGAAACAATAAATTATACTGGCAATGTAATTATTATTTTCAAATCGAAATTTCTCTGTAATTATTGAGTCCCGGAACCTAAATAGAAAAAAAAAAACACCAAAACAAGGTTGCAATATATTCAATTATCCTCAACCAACTATAACTCAGTTTTTTAATATTGGAATCTTAATTTCTGAGGGTCTAAGTATAAGATGGATTTTCAATTTCTTAACGAGAAAAAATGTTTTATTGCAAAAGGGTTTTCATTTAAAAAATATAATGTAACAACTGTAGGCCATTAAGCAGACAAAATGTGATTAAACAATGGATTATTATATGAAACCCACCTTCGTCTTCATCTTGCTTTGTCTATAAAACATGGCCCTAATGCTCTCCTTAAAGCTACTCAGGGGTTAATCAAGACCTAACCACAGCAAGAAACACTTAGGCCACAGGATCAATAATTTTTTTTCAGATTCTTAATTTTCTTCACAATGACTGGTTCTGGTTCTGGTTCTCCTTGTGGAGCTTGCAAATTCCTTAGGAGGAAATGTGTGAAGGGATGCGTGTTTGCGCCTTACTTCTGCCACGAACAAGGAGTTTCGCATTTTGCGGCCATTCACAAGGTCTTTGGAGCGAGCAATGCCTCTAAATTGCTCTCTCATCTTCCGACCAGCGATCGTTGTGAAGCCGCCATTACTATCTCTTACGAAGCTCAAGCTCGGCTCCAAGACCCCGTCTATGGCTGCGTTTCTCATATCTTTGCCCTCCAACAACAGGTTTCTCTCTCCCCCTTTCCTCTTGTCTCTCAAAACCCTAATCTTTGTTTGTTTGTTTTTCTCTTTTATTGGGATACACTTACAGAAATTGAAAAAAACAACAATCATATGATCCAAAAACAATACTCCAAACTCTTTTATGTTGATTGCAACACGCACACGCTCAAATCCTGTGTTTTCATGGAAGCATGTGGTTACGTATACACATATGCACAGAAATATATGTATATATAGCCTAATTATTTACTTTGATTTGTGTTTGTAGGTTGTTAATCTTCAAACCCAGCTTGCTATTCTCAAGCAACAAGCCGCACGAAGCATGATCAATACTCCTTCTCCTTCATCAGAAAACCCTAGCTGCTACTATGGAAACCCTAGACCTCCTTATCATCAAGAACACCAAGATCTTCATCAAGCCCATCACTTGATCCACCAAACCGGAAACACGAACCAGTTCAATCTATGCCCTACGGACAAGAATACGTTGCCTTACCATCAAACCGGGTTAGTGGACGCGGATCTCAGCAGCAGCAACAACAACAACAGCATGGCGAATTACTACAACGAGAATAACTCGACCGGGGAAGACCATGCTTCCTTCTCGAGTTTCGGTGAATCTTCCAACTACTCAGACATGGAACAACAATGGAACGCTTTCCAAGACGCCGAAGACCTTCAATCTGCGGCTTTTGGGTACTTCTCGTACTCGTGATGGTTCCATGGAGAACGTTTGGTCCCCCTCGAGATGGATATACATACACAACTATATGTCAAGACTTTTTGATGGATTTGGTTTTGATGTTACCTGGCTCGAAGATCCAGCTCTGTTTTCATAAATAAAAAGCTGGATGAGATGCCCTAGAGATTTATATAAACATGTGATTTAGCCCTGCCTTAATTACTAACCAGAGAATTTATCCGATTCTTTCGAGCTTGTGCTTAATTAACCTCTTTTTATTCCTCTAACCAATGGAGATATATATCTGTTTTGGACCATCGATCTAAGCTAATAATTTGGTTGTTTGGTTTTTACACACGTGCAGCCTAACTATATCCAAAGCCCTAATTAAGATTTGCATTCCTTTTTATGTTCCCCACATATATATATATATATATAGCTGCACATATAATCAAGGCTGTTGTTCATTTTTGGGCATTTTTATTCTCTCTTGATTGCATTAACTCTTTCTGCCGTTGCAATTAACCAAAATAACCCCTTCTTATAGCTTAAGTTAGTATAGGGGAAAAAATACACATGTGCTTATATGTATTTATTTGTGTGTGTGTGTGTGTGTGATAACGCATGCAACCGTTGTAACAATCCCAAGAAAATGAATATTTCTTTGCATCGTTAGAGTTATTAATCCTTCGTGAGTATATATATATATATATATATATATATATCTTTGTTATATGCATAGTCAAAGATCTCTGGACGAAATCTGAGGAACTCTCGCTTGTTTTACATGGATGATGGGAGTTGGAATAATTCACGCGTTAATCATACGCATGATAAAATATTTTAATTCACAAATCTCCGAAAACAGATCTAACTTATTATATATTCTGAAAAATTGGCTTTGCATTGATTTATAAAACTAATATGACAAATTAATAACAACATTATAAGATGCTAACGTTTTCTTGTAAGAAAAAAAAACTATATACATGAGCTAATACGTGTGGTTATTGATTAGATATCAAGTATATGCATCTACAAATTAAAGTTATAATCTTCGTTCGAGGAAAAATTCTGAGCCCATTGGACCCATAAGACATGTACGTACAAATGGGCCTAATCTAAAATAGGCCCAATATTATTACCAGTTTGCTTTGCCGCCAGATTTCGGCCGATTTAGCGAGGCCTGGTGAAATTTTTTACCTTATGTGGGGTTGTAAATTTGGAAATGATTTAGTTTTTACTTTTATAAATTTATATCGATTGTTTAATATGATTTTACGTTTATTTTAATTAAAAAATAACATATCGTTGAATTTTTTCAATACGATGACGGACACCTCATTTCTATCAGAAAATTCACCTATTTAGTTATCTATTCATTTATTTCTTCGGCGATGGACATCTATTCATTGTTTATTGCTTTGCCATGATTTTTTCTGGATTTATAATCTAAGTTTACGTAATTCCATTCACCAAAATAAAATAAAAAAGGTTACGTAATTCCATAAAAAAAAACGGAAATATAAATACCTATAGTTTGTTCTTTTTATTCATTGACCTAAATTTCAATATAAATGAGAGTCATGACATATAAATTAAACGACTACGACATACCAACTTTTGATAATGCGCCCACCTCAAACCAAAAAATATATATTTTTTAAAACTAATTAAGAAAAAAAAATTTAAAAATATTTTTTTAAAAAACTAATTAGAATTATATTTTGTTTTATTTAAGAAATTATATTCAGAAATCATGAAGTGGGTCCCACAGAGGCGGGCGCACGTGTGAGCATGCGGTCAAAGGGTTCAGTTTTACATAGGCCAAGGGCCCACGTGCGCCGGATCCAGCCGTTTCTTTCACTCTCTTTTTATTTTATTTTTTTAAAATGCATCGAAAATATATAAGAGGACAAGACTTCGTGGGTATTCGGAGTCAATTGACACGTCATCAAGCTCTTCCATTATGTTTTTTTTTGTAAATCCGTTAACATTAACAGCCCAACAATTTCATTAATCAAAATTTTCTATCTCTTTTGTCCAGCTTTTTATGACAATTATTGGTTAGATTATTTCATTTTTCAATTTTGAAAAAAAATAGAATATACATATTCTCTCATGAGTTATTTATTGGCAACAGAATACCGCCTATAGATTCAGAATTTAGTACAATTGAATAAGACTTTGAATGGTAGTGGCTTTTATTTTGGGTTTTTGGTTTTAGTTTTTTGTTTTTAATTTTTAGTTTTTAGTTTTTGGCTTTTCGATTTTATAAGTTTATAAATCTAAAAAATGGTAGTTTTTGGTTTTTAGTTGATTTTTTCCATAAAGTAGATTTTCGAATTGTTAGGAAAAACAAAATTTAAAAAACTTGATTGTTGGTTTTTTCAGTTTTTAAAATCCAAAAACTCCGAAAACCACCTCCCATTCAACACCTAAATTTTTATTCTCTGGATAAACAATTTATTTTTTATTGGACACGTTATAAATTCTATTTTAGAATAAATCTATTATATGTATTCGTCAATGTATATATATATACACACGAGTGACTGAGCATCGCGTGAATACAAATTGTTTTTTTTTTATTCTTTCATAGTTGATTTTCTGGGTCTTGTCGCCACCTTTAATTAGAATGACCAATAATTTCCCACCCCTTTCTCTAACTCTTACTTTAATCTTTATACGTACATTATTATAATTAATCGCTCGAATGACATATTGTATTCTTTCTTTGTTTTGCTTTGTATTTATTTCCACTTTCTCGAGCAGCTTTCTGAGTATATATTAATTTCCTTCCGTGGAATATATATATATTAAGTCTTTTAATTGCCACTTTATTTTGAAAAACATGTATCAATTAATTAATACTGCTAATTAATAAGAAGAACACTTTTTAAGTATAATTAATTAACCTATTCGGATACACAGCATCAAACTCTTGTTGCTTTCGCTAATCTTTTATTGTTTAATTTTTTTTTGGAAAGGAAATATTTATAATTAAATACTTTGCTCGTTATACATACACTTTTCCCTCACGAGTGTCCAAATGGTCACAGCCAGCTTCGACAAGTTTGTTCCTGCCATATTAAATAAATTGTCAAAGAAAAACATAATTTGGCCTCGGCAATGGGCTCGAAGTATTGAATACTATTTATGTATGTATATATATATATATATATACATACGTATAGTGTATAGATAGAGAGAGATTGTAATCGTAGGGTTCGGACAAGCGAAGCTTCTGAAGTGGGGATTTGTTCGGAGGAGACTTAAAATATAGTTATGAAAAAAGAGATGGTGATGGCAAAGTACTGAAGTTGAATCCAATTTAGGGGACATTTTGTCCAATGATACCAACACAATTGCATGGGGGATTGGTGCGATTTGGCTCTATATATCTAATCAAGAATACAGCACTTAATTAGTGTTAGGTAAACCTGTTTAATTACATATATAGAGAGAGTGTGCGGGTCCATCATTATTAATTAGGACGGATTAATGATTCTTAATTATATGCTTCTCTGACAGACAATCATATCATTCATCTTTTCTATGTGAATATATATATTCCTTTTTGGGGGTAAAACTATGCTACGTTTTTTATGAATATGTCACACGACCCTCAATCCGTACGTACTTATTGTCACGAATAATCAAAAATTTTATTAAAGGAAACATATATTTTAGTGTTATCTCCTATGGAAAGATGCAATTCAGTGGAACTATTTAGTTAATTGATTTTCTCGTAGACACGTGTGTGTGTATATATAGTCACAGAATATGCACAGAAGAGGGAATTTTACCAAGAGGGCAAAAGAAGAGTAAAAAAGTAACACCGCTGTTTCTTTACCGTCTGTAAAAAAAAGGGGGAAAACACGAGGAAATTTTTTAAAAAAAAAAAAAGATAAAGAAAAGTATTTGTTTCTGTTTGTCTTTGAAATCAGTTCCTCATCATCCGTCGAGCCAAAGCTTGAAGCTCGCTTAAATCGTTATTATTACACTGAGTTACTAATCTCTTCTTGTTCGGATAACCTTCGTGGAACCCTAATCCATCATGTCCTCTGCTCTGAATCTCCTGCACGTTGGTGACGTCGCTGCTCGTGTTGCTTTGGTCAAACGATTCCAGCGAGCTTTGCGGCGAAACCGTGCTAGGGTTTACGTGACCGTGCCGAGTGTACGGTGGTGTCGTACCTGTCGGAAATCCGCTTGCTAGTTGCCACAAGTGCTGTGTCTCCGAGATGTTTGTCGTCGATGTCGCAATATTGTTGTGAGAGATCAGCTGAGCCTTCAGTTGCATTAATTGTGCTTGCAAGAAAGCTACCTGTAGACACGTTTATAAACAAAGATTATTAATTAGTAATGTCACGTATTAGCAAAATGATTATTGCCGTATTAATTCTAAGATAAGGACATATGGTTCGTGAAATAGTCATGTGGGGTTTAAAGATCGGGTTTCGACCATCAGCAAAATCGAACAATACGTGATTCCGATCAAAGATTTAATCGATGGTTTACACAAATTTTGATAGTTTACCTGTTGTTGGAGGGCGAAGATATGAGCGACGCAGCCGTAGACGGGGTCAGAGAGACGAGCCTGGGCCTCGTAGGCAATGGAGACGACGGCTTCACAACGGTCGTGGACGGGGACGCTGTGCAAGAGCTTGGAAACGTTGCTTGCTCCGAACACTCTGTGTATTGCCGCGAATCTCGCGGGACCTTGGTCCGACGAGAAATATGGCGCGAATATGCAGTCCGACGCGCATTTTCGCCGTAGGAACTTACACGCGCCGCACGGAGAACCTGTCCCGGTGCTGGAAGATGCCATGTCGGTGGGCTTCTCTTGTATTTTTCTAAGATGTTTGTTCGTGCCCCTTTTGCAAATTCGGGGGGAAGAAAAGGTTACAATCGATACTAGGAAATGATGCAACAAAGATATAGATTGTCAACCAAAACAAAAAAATCGGTATTTTTTTTTTGTGGGTTTTATGGATTTGGAGATACGATGATGGGAAAGTGCGGTATGTTTTGTTGGGGTTTATAAAAGAAGAGGCATCATGAAAGACAAGTTTAAGTGTGTTTTTTTTCTTTCTGATATATATTTAAGTCCTCTCTCTTTCTTTCACTTGGTGCACTTATATATATATATATATATATATATAGTTCAATCAACAATCGTGTACTATTATTACATCGAATTTGTGATTGCACGCCCTTTTGTCAAGCAGATTGTATTTTTTTTTTATGAAGTTTTTGTCTAACAATGGAGTTTGGGCCATACTTATCGCTTAGTTCCTTTAAATAAATAATTTGATTCTTTTTATTTTACGACGCTAAAGTTTGTCGCCACTTCTTTCTCATATACATTGAACGAAAACGAAGTATATATTATTATTTTTTAAAAGAAGGAAACTCCTAGCAAATTAACACTATAATATAAATATACATATATATAAACAGAGTAACTTGCAATTCTATCGATCAAAATCAACAGAAACTAGAGATTTTTTGAAATTTGTAACGCACGTATCAACAAATTCATTCCAAGAAAGTCAAGCATGATGTAAGCAAGGTTCATTTTATTTGGATTGAAGAGAAAATGGAACGGGCAAAAATGTGTGTAAGAGTGTGAAGGGTTATACATGGAGGGTCGTCGTGTATGGTTCTAAGGGGACAATCGGTAATGGTGGTGACAGCAACTTGAGACTTTTATTTTCTTGGTTCAATTACTTGTAACTTGTTTTAATTTTCTTCGCCGATTCTAATTAAAAAAACCCATAAAAGTGTTATCTTTAAATTGTTAATCAAGCAAATTCTTTAAGCTTCCCGATATTTCCACGTATTATTTAATACTCAAATCATGAATCAAATTGGTTTTTATATCAAACTAATTAAAAACATAAAATATTTTATAACTGAAAAGACAAAAAATTCATAAAATAAAAGAAGTAAAACCTGGCCCAAATCTTCAATGTAAGATATCATAGCTTTAATTTTTTTCATCTAAAAACAGTTTCATTAAACAAAACGATATGAAATTCAAAATATTCATTAGTTAGACTTGGCTTTAAAAAATTAGTAATGGGTTTCTTTTAAGAATAAAAAAACCCAAGAATTAATGTGGTTACGTTACGTGGGCCTCCGCCGAACGCCGGACATTGGAACTGGTGCCGGATTTGTCGTGTAGTGAGGACCGAGCAAAGTCTTACCGACAAATACTAATGCCATGTATTAGGAAGCCCATACTCCTTAAACCTCGTTGTTAATTCTATAAAATATATGCGCTAATTAAAACGATTGATCTGCTTAGGTGGCAGGAATATCTCCCTTCTCATGATTGGAGCGCGTGAGTTTGCTCTAGGGTTTGAGATCCGTATTCCCCCACCTGAAATCAGAGATTGGACCAAATTTAAAGATCATGAACTCCAGAATATGAAATGAACTTATATTTCTTCCATACAACAAGATTCTATTTTTATAAGCTCTTGTGCACAAGCGGCTCTTGCATGAAAAGGTGCTGCATGCAACGTATAGATAACGTCCTTATTCAACTACGAATCCCTCCGAGGCATTTCAATAACAATACCATGGAGTTTCAGATCAAGACTTATATATAAAGGGTTATTTCAAGTCAGACAAACAATTCCATAAGGTGAGTTTTCGATAGAATTGGAAGTTGGTCTAAAGAGTCGCCACATAAAGGAGAACCGAACGAACCTCGCGCCTTAGAAGGGCACCATTGGAATCCAAGGGATCAACAATGGCTGAAACAGATTCTTCTCCACCACAATTTCCGAGGGCGAAAAATGCTGCATATCCCTCATACCCTCTGCCTCGTACATGCACTTTGAAAAGATCAGAGCAGAGAATATTGGCACCACAAAAGTAAGAATCATCTGAAATTAAACTCCAAAACGGTGATTAGCAATGTTCACCTCATGCCAAACTATAAGATGCAAGGACATATCCTTAACGGCTGACGCCAGGGCAAGAATAGCTTCGGCATCTTGCATCTGCCCCAATGCGAATACAGATTCAAAGAGATGTGAGAATTCAATGCCAGTGGGAACAATTGATTGATTGGAACCTTCTCTCCTAATAACTGCTTCTGCTGCAATGCACTCTTGATTGTCATATTCAAACGATCGAACGGGAAAACCTATACGGGTTTGAATGGCATTAGACAGAAATCAACAACCAATAGCAGATACGAGATGGGTAGCTATAAAGCAACATATTAGCTACCACACCCTTATGAACTGAAGTTTGGTAATAAAAGCAATCTACAGGAACACATCAGACTAGAACCAAAATCAACAGAGCTTCAGCCAACTGTTACAGACAGAGAAAACAGAAGTCGCGGCAAAACCATATTAACTAACCCAAAAAAGATTGAACCTTTCGTCCAATCATGAACCAGAAAAAATGCAGGAACATGCAGATTTAAAACCATAAAGTGATTTAGCTTTAAAAGAATCAAAATTTCCGGACTTTCCACATTCATAAAAGCACCAAGAGTTTTACTGACAACTCGCGATATACGTACCAGAGGTAAGGATACATATATATATACAAATTGTATGCAAATTCTATTCAAGCAACTGCATACAACCAAGATGACGTTATTCAGTATTCACTATGTTAGCAGAACAAGGTAATCGCACAGTTTAAATTCACTTGAAGACAATCCAAACCGACACAAGGGAAGTTTACTACTAGTCAAAAAACAAAAAAGCTTTCCAAAAGAAGGAAACTTCATAGATCAAACTAAATTGCTCCCAAATTACATGATTTTTTCCACCAAATAAGGGGAAAAAAGATTCAGCTTCCAATTTAGTACAAATAATTCACAAAGATGAACCCTTACCTTGGATAAGAGCTTTCGAGGTCCAGGGCCTCGACCTCGCCGAGATTGGTTGCGACTGCTCCAGGAATCGCTCGAAGCGAAACTTCTCCACATCACTTGCAGCAGCCATTTACCACCGAGGAATCTGGTCCGTTTGATCCCATCACTACGCGATTGCGGCGGCGGAGGAGATCAGGCTTCCGACGAGGTTGCACTCTGAGGCCGACAGGCCACGAGGCTAGGGTTTCCGTATTCGATTCGTCAGAAGGAGCAAGTACTACGCGGGAACTCGTCTCCTTTATATAGCTTTTCACTCTTTAACCAACTTCTCTTTTGGCCCCACAAAAGTTATAAAATTCTAATAAGGCCCCGATATTTTTTAGATATTACACGGGAGGGCGTCTTGGTCGTCCGTCCATGAATCTAAGAACTTTAGGTCACTTCCTTCTCTGTTTTGGATTCAAATTACGAAAGCTGGTCGATTCTACATCTCAACCGTGTTCTTGCGCCGTTTGTGTTTCGAAATCGCAGATCCAGGTGAAATTCGAAAGAATCTGAGGAACTTTGTTTGAAGCACAGTCGAAAGGGTCGGAGGATTTACATCTTTGTTCGCTTGATTCATGAACCCTAGAAGGTTAGCTATATTGAATCCTTGAAATTCCAGTCCTTCAACGCATCGATCTGATTTCGGAAACATGTATATATATATATATATATATCTGTTCGTGGATTGCGTGTTCCATGGATTAGGGGTCATCGCTGTTAGCCTAAAGATCCAATAATGGATCTGAAGGAACACTGATTTCTAGTGGTGGATAGGGTAGGATTGCCTTATAGAATTTGTGATCAGACTGAATTTCAATCACGAATCAACTTCGAAGCTTCGTAATTTGAGTCCGTTTCGCTGAAAGGACTCAATCGGTATCAATTTCGATTTGGATACGAATTTCAGTGGCTTTGGCGATGAAATGAACATTATGAACTCGAAAGAAACACTGTTTGGGTCTTACTTCATTTGGTACGGGTTAAGTAAATAATGATTCCGTACACAGCAGCTGATCTGCTATCTTGCAAGTGACTCACGGAGTTTGGCTTTGTCGACATCCTGAACAAGAGTTCCTTAGATCTGGTATCGTTTTTGCACATGTTAACTGATGTCTGAGCATTTTGAGAGGTTATTGTTTCAGAGTTCTTTCATCTACCGAACCTTACAACTAAAAATGGATGGTTGTTGTATATGTTATCATTGCTGAGGCCTAAAATCGTGCAGGGAGAATCGTGGGGCTAGAAGTTCCCTCTTCGACGGAATGAACACGAGAATGAACGAGCCTTGGAAGGATTCCAGGACAGAGTCAATTTTCTGAAACGGGTAAAGCTTTAAGAAATGCTAAACCAAAACCGGCTCGACATACCCGGTACGTATTAACAATGGGGCCGAATGAACGTGTGAAATGGGCCATTGGGCCGTTCACTTGGGGCCAAGAGTTAAAAAATTTAAAACTTTGCACCAGCCGGGAATCGAACCCGGGTCTGTACCGTGGCAGGGTACTATTCTACCACTAGACCACTGGTGCTTGATTTGTAAATTTTATACTTACATTAAAAGTTTTTCATCTTACACGATAACAAAACCTAGTCTAGTCAGGAATATGCTCAACAACGTTACTAAGCTCATGTCCACCAAACCATATATATAGACCTAACCTAATAGATTGTAGATGCATGGATTTGGTAAAGAAAAGGGAAATGAATTTTACAATTATTTTGTGTGAGGGATTTTCAGAAATATATGTGAAAAAAAAGAAGAAATGTTAGGAGGGGTGAAATTGTTCCCTCACACATCACTCGACTATTAATACGTATATTTCACAAAAATGGCAAGAGTTGGAGGAGCTTGTTAGAAAATAAAAATAAAAATAAAATAGAAGTTTCTAAATAAGGAAAGGCCATCATGGCTTATCCTGACATCAAACATTTGTGGGGAACATGAAAAATGTCAGATTGTTTTCATTCCTCGGAAAAACACTAACATCCCATGTGTCCCTACCCAAACATACCACTTTCCTGTTTCCCTTTTGCATCAATCCATTCGGCTAAATCCTAATCTTGTTTGGTACACTCTTGGCTCTCTCTCTCTCTCTCTAAATCAAAACTCCCAAGCATTGAGTAATCGTTTTTTTAAAAAACAAAGCTACTGTTATACGATAAATTCGATCCATATGATCCATTTTTATTTCAGATATATGGACTAACAAACCCCCCAAAGAAGATACAACATTGGGCGTTACAGAGAATGTATATGTGCGCTAAAATACCATCCATTCGGTTTATTGGTGCATTTGTTGCATGTAACGCAAGTTGAAAAAAACGCTGGCCTTTGCTAAGTTTGCCAAACCCCTGAAATTATTAACTCGTTATGATGTAAACATACTCTTTCTTGGTCTTAGATTTTCACCATTGGGAAGGATGATCTTGATATGTTTGATTTGTCTATGCGTTCACAGCTCTCACATTTGTTCGATCTTTTGTTTTTTAAACGAGCTTTGTCGGCCTTGGGATCATATATTTAAAGAATGCATGCACAAGCACGTTAGAGTGAAAAAGAAACTCAAATGTTTCTAATGCACGAAACTACTCTTCCTATTCACCAATGTCCTAAGCTATATATGATTTTAAACCCTAGACCCGTGGAGCTTTCATATACATTTATGTGTGTAAACAGATATGCATGTACACACACATATATATAATATGTAACATCCACATATATTGCAAATCAAAGGTGACATCACTTGAATGGTACTCCCGAAGAAATGAAAGCCGATTCTTGCATGAGAAAGTTTAACACGAACCATCCAAGTGGTTCATGCCATGCATGAAAATGGAATTTTCATTATCACATGTATGCGTGTATGTATGTTATGTCTGTGTATACACTGTTCATTAGTCAATTTCACATCATCTCCCTTTCTCTATGTTTCATAGTACATATTCTTTGCATGCGTATGTAACTAATCAACCACATCTACCCGACACGATACATCGACTTTTTAGTGAGCACAAAAAGCCATTCCATTTAAATCCAGTTAATGCGCGCGCGCACACACAGTCTATGTTACAGAGCTTCGTATTATATATAAAACTGTATATTTAGGTTATCGTGATATTTGATCCATAGTAATCGTGTGATGACGAGATTCATTGAGCAGTATAATAGATAAAATACTGTATACAATGTTATAATATAACCATCGAAATATCCAACAACAACAATATGTATTACTGTTGGTTAAATTCAGATTGTTAAATATGCTGAAGGGAAAATAAAGAAGAAGACAAACCCCCCAAAAGAATTTTGGAAATTTTTGTCGACCCTTTTTTTCCTATCTTGTTTACTTGTACTTTAGTCTAGCGTATGATAATAACATTATTCGCCTAAGTACGCGTGGACGAACGCAGATAATACATTTATATAATGATCATCATATATATGCTAACTGTAGTGAAACCATTGAACCTTTAATTCAAGCAGCCTAGTCGAAGCTCCAAGTCCAAGACTTGGTGTTTTGGATCCTTCAAACTCATCTCCAGCTCCAAGCCAACAACTTCAGCAGCTCCTTTCTTCTTCTGATCCTTAGTTGACTTGCCACTTCCTGCTTGGCATGCATCAATGGGGTTCTTGAACTCTCTGGTCCATGGAACAGCACCCTTGTTCTTGTCCTTTTTCCTTGAATCTCCATGTTTAGGGCTCGAAATGTTGAACCGGGTTGGGACAGGACTTGCTTGGGCTTTCTGGGTTGGGTAAGGCTCGTGAGGTGTTGATGACGATGAAGAGAAACAAGTATTAGGGCTAGGGCTAGGGTTAGGGTTAGGGTTAGGGATACATAAGTGGGAAGATCCAAAGATCCAAGAAGGAAGCTGTCTGAGTTTTGCTCTGTCTCTTCTGTGGACATTCATGTGGCCACCGAGAGCTTGAGCAGATTTGAACTCTCTCCGACAGAAGCTGCATGCGTAGTTTCTTGGAGGCCATGGGATCGACCCTTCGTAGAAATGATGACGCTCACTCGAAGAATTCATGAAGTAATTGTGATGATCATTATCATCATCGTCCTCTTGAATCTTGTCTCTGCTGAAATGGTTCCTCTTCATGATCCTTCCTGATCTCTCCTGCACATTTAGAGCATAAAAATAAAGACAATATATCATCAGAATCTCTTGAAACTATAGAGGAAATAATCAAGGAAAGAGAGAAATAGGAAAAGGTGATGAAACCCTAGAGAGATATAGAGGGAGCTTGGAAAACTTTGCTGGGAATCTAAGAAATGATCTATGGTGAAGTATTGTACATTAGATATATGTCAGTGTGGTCATGATTCCTAGTCAAAGGGTCTTTAGATGTACGGTGGATTATCAGTTTATTAGGTTTTAAATCTGTCATGATTGGTCAGAATCAGACAAATTGTACAATATTATAATTGCTATGTTCGATTAGATTGATGAATGGAGGCAAATGAAAAAAAAAAGAACAGAAAAACAAGCAGGTAGTTCCATAATTACAAAACAGGGAGAGAGAGAGAGAGAGAGAGAGAGAGAGAGAGAGAGAGGAATTTAATGAGGCTATACTCATCATGTTCATCTGCTACTGTCTCCTTCTATTTTTGGAAGTTACTTGAGCAAATGTATGTGGTATGGGAACTAAGTTTGGCATCTCTGTTTCTATGTCAAATTCTTGCAGGGGTCTGCCATATAATTCCTGTCTCCACATCCCTTCAATCAATACATTCATCATGTACGTATACACATATACGTATGTCTGCAAGTAAATAGTTCCCACTTGCGATCTCGAGAGATGCATATTTTCACACGTTGTCATAATGATGATAATAATAATAGTAATGGATGGGAAATGGCATCCTATAGAATGCATAATCCAGCTTCAATTCTAGTTTCAGTAACCACATACATCCATACAAAAAAAAAAAAACAGCATATTCAATGAAATATATATTTGACAATAAGATTCTCATCAAAAGAAATGCTTCCAATTATGTTGAAATGGAGGACATAGAAACTGAACACGTTCGGACAAGAGTGTTGCAGTTTGATCTACTCCTAACAGTTAATCTAAAAACCACTCTCTGTGACAAAAAAACTACCAATTACTCTGTGACAACAATGGAACATGAACCAAATATGAGGAGCGGTTATAAGCCAAGTGGATATATATATATATATATATATATATATATATCAGCAGCTTCCAATTCCATCAATCAGAAGTAATCTTCAAAGCCCCCTTCCCTATCACTTTCATAGCTCTCTGAGCCTGCATCATATTATTGTTCAAACTGCAATGTAAGGAATAAATCATTGACCTCTCTAACAATGGAGATAAACTTGTTCATAATGCATGTACAGGAGAAATATAGAAGAAGCCTTGAGGAACCAAACGATATGACCCAGAATCCAGTTCGACATCATGGGCTACTGTAACTGACCTTTGGTTTCTGAGGTTGACAGATCTTGAACTATGACTTGCAACTGATTGGGATTGAAGGCCGAGAAGCTGTCTGAGGTAGGAGATGGAGCGGGGAAAGTGAAATCAGAATCACTGGACGAAGCTTCAGAGTTCTCCGAGCTGTCAGCAAGATCATCCCGCACAACCGGTGATGAAGTGAATGTTGAATTCGACATAGAAGGAGAGCGCAAGATTGACTTCAGCTGCGAGAATTGGTCTGACATAGAGTATAACAGCCTGAAACACACTAAACATGACTTAGCATCAGTAAATGTGCATGATGAAGATATTTCCCACCTATTTGATCTGATTTAGGCTAACCCATGTGTTATAAAACAAGCATGCACCAAATTTGATCCTTTTTATTCTTGTTAACAAGCACGGAGGAAATTAAGAATCAATACTACCTATTCAAAGAGTCTTGAAGGTGATAAACTCTTCTTTCTGTTTCTTCTAACTTTTTCCGCCTTCCCTCACTGAGTTCTTGGACTTCAACATATTTCCTTTCAGAAATGTCTGCTCTCTGTTTCTCAACTTGCAACAAGGCCTACAAAAGTTTATTACAAATATCAAACTTCTTCTCTAATCCAAAATAAGGTATCTATACTGTAAGCAAAGAGATGTTCATATCAAGATATAGAAGCATCCCCGTGTCTAGGGAGAATGATAATAAAGGTGGTGGAAAATTATGCGACCATTACCCTCAGCATTTCGACTTCCACAGTGAGGGACTCTATTTCTGTGTCACGAACAGGAATCATTATTTCACTAACAGTAGGAGAAGCTTCAGTAGCCTTCTCTGCAATCTCACTTTGATCTGAATGTAGTACAACCACCGCCTTATCAACAGAGTCTTCAGCATTGTTAGAAAGCTCCGACTTTTCTTCATGCCCTTTATCTTCTTCTTCTTCTTCTTCTTCTCTGTCTGTCTATAAGCATGAGATTACTTCCATTAGAAGAAAATACTTCCTCTTCCTCACAAGGAAAAACCCTGTTCTGCTCATTTTTATCCGTAGCACTCATTTCATAACTCGGTAAGTATTCACAAAAGCTGCAGAGTTGGCCATACATACCATTTTTGGCTGCTCTAATCGTCTTTTCGCAATTCTTCCCCTGAGTCTACTTTGATAAACAAGGGAAGCCCTTTTCAATTTTTTGAATTCTGAAACAGCTATGTGACAACGCCAATATGCCTGCAAGTTATTTGCACTCGAAAGTCGGTTTCTACAAAAAAGGTATATAAATATAGCAATTTTTCCAAGTAAATCTATTAAGCGTGGAAAAGACTGAAAGATAGGACCTGAATAACAGTTACTGCTCTAGTTTTCAATTTATATCTGAATTCATGACGTGCAGCCAGTGTACGGAAACCCGTCTGCAAAGTTATTGCAGAGGATTTGGTGTTAGTGTAAGCCCTCGTAGCAAGCTGTCTACGTAGGTTTTTCTGAATTTTCATGGCAGCTGCCTCCCTTTTCATGTCCCTGTATATCTTGCGGGCAAGTTTTCCTATGAATAAAAGAATTAGACTTTATCAATGTTTCTGAAAGCTAGAAGACTGAAACCTTTACTAAATTCATGTGAATAACTAACGAACATCAATGCAAAACCTCCCTCTTCCCCATGAACATCTTTGATGGACTCACCTCTCCAGCTAGTCTGTATACGTACTGAAGCCCTTCGCATAAGAATGAAATCTTTTCTTGTCAGATGAGTTTTAACTTGTCGCTGAATAATCCTTGCAGATTCACCTAACACTCTTGTCCTGTGCACATCTAGCTCAGCCATCTGGCCAGCTCTCAGGAAAACTTTGGTTTGTCCTACCTGCAAATGGGATTTTGCATGAACACCCATGACAATGCATTATGCCCTCTTTAATATACAAAAAGCTATATATATATTCTCAAGTTAACTATGATCCTTCTTGGGGAATAGGGTTTCCCATTTTTGTTCTGTAGATCTCCAGAAGTGCTTACCTGGTAACCTGTAAGGCCCACCTTCTCCAGAATCCACTTGCATGCAACATTTTCTTCGTACCTGTTTATCAATGCATATTAATGAAACTACAGTTAGAAAACTCAACGAGCAGGTTGGCAGACACAAAAAGAAATGTTATGCTTGAAAACAGTTCTCTTAATTTGGTAAAATAAGAACTGATACGTACTCTCCTTTCAAAATTTCCGGCGCGAGAATCGTAAACCGGTTTAAGAACTCAATAAAAGTCCTATTAGTAGGGTATCCAGCACATTTCACTCTGATGGCCTCCAGAACACCCTACATCAAACAAAGAGCACATAAAGCCTTAGAAACATTCAAATAATTTGGATAATATAGTTTAAAGGAAATACTTACCCCAGAACGTAACTGATGCAAGACATTAGCATTTTCAAATACAGCTGGTTGCAAAACATTGTTTGGCTTAACACATCTGATATAGTGGGGTTCTGTAGAGTTTAGTATCTCCATCAGCTGCATTAATTGTAGCTGCACCAATTACATAAAAATGTCAGATCTTGCAGATGGTGATCGTGGAATCAAAAGCTCTGCAGTAATCTGCTGTGTGTGGACCGACCATCCACTCCAATTCATAAGGTAAAATAGTTCTAACGTTTTTGCAGACATGTTACCTTGAAACGAGCACCAATCGATGAGAACTTAGAAGATTTGCTGCCCTCTCTAGACAGAGGAGGGAAGAGGCCTGACACAAAAGAGCATTTGGAAGCACTTAACAAATCCTGATGTTCAGGGACAACATAGTCTTTGTTTTTGTCCAAAAATTGATCTGACTGATATTGAACCTGAAAAAGGAGTGCATGGAGTACGAAGCTTCAAAATCATAACCATAACTAATTTCAATGACAAAAGAAACAGGAAGTGTGAAATTTAACTTACATCTCCTGCATAATGAGCTATCGTAAAGTCAGATCGAGTTAATTTTGGTTTGACGAAGCGTTTATGATCTTTGAACGTCTGATAGAGCTTCTCAGAAAATGTTTCAGGAGTTGACTTTGGTAGCATACTGCAAGAAAGAAAACACTTAAGTAAAGATGTTGCTTGGAAACAACTACTATGAAAGAGCAAGCCAAGAAGATTGTACTCTACCATGCTTCATCAAGAAGAGCAATAATACCACCTGGTTTCTGTAAAAACGAATGTAATCAGATTTCTAAACACAAAGCCTGGCACAAGGAAACTAAATGATTAAAGAATAATAGGAAAAGCGGACTAGAGACCCTTCTTCATGACTTATCTTCGGGTCATCAAGACACCCAGTGAGAATTTGAGACAGACAGAAGTCTTGCATGTTTTCATGAACTTACTCCAGGTGATCATCTAATGATTTATCTACGAAGAAATTCCCCATGCCTTTTAGTCCACAAGTATGGACAACAATTCTAATAACATAGGCAGTTAGTTACTAGTTAGGTTGTACTAGTGTAGTTTAATAGAAGACAGAAATCTCTAAAAGGGAAGTCTAATGTTTCAATTTTTTAAATTGGTGGTCAACATCATATGAGGAACCCGTCCCTGTATGTGCAAGTAATAGTCATTGTTCAGTCAGGGAAAGCAAATGGAGAAAGAGAAGGAAGACACCACAAACCTTCTCAATGAGATCCACAACATCTTGATTATCGACAAACTCCACATAGCTCCAATCTATTTCCTCTTTCTGGTAGTCATCTTGCTCCATTTTGAATACATGCTGAAGAGTGTTAATGACCACAGATCAATCACTGAACCATTAAGTCAAATCAGTTGCCAACACATATGACTGACCTCGTACCTGGTTGAAATGTTGTTGCAGCTTTTCGTTGGTGTAGTTGATACAGAATTGCTCAAAACTGCACCAGAAGTTTACACGAGTTGGTGAACTGAAGCAAAGGCTAAATAAAGTGCTTGATGTTAGAGACAGTTCTTTAGATCATACAACCTATACAAAAGCACCATCTACCTAAGATCATGTAGCCAAAAGGTAGCTAAAGCAAACCAGTGTTTGTTTAACAAATAAAATTTATAGAGGTATTCTGGTCACTGCAGTAATTCAACAAAATTTGCATTCTATTCTATTGTTTATACCGAAGTCAAGAAAACATAAAAAATCATCTCTGCAATGGATGGCAGAGGCTTAGTATGTTAACAAGGTCATCATCACGAACACATGCATGCACTGTAAATTATGTATGTTATCTGCTGTCACCTATTAGTTTTAAAGCTCTCGAAACCATAGATGTCAAGGACTCCAATCAAACGCCTTGAGTGAGGATCTTGTCCAATAGAGACATTGATTTTGTCTACCAACCTGGAAACAATAACAGGGAGTAAATTGTGGAAACCTCCCTCATAGTTCAGTGAGATGAGAAAACAATTACAAATTTGAATTTTGACGCAGAATTACCAATCAAATAGTCGCGAGTATATTGTCTTTGCTAAACCATCCCTGCTAATGGCAGCACCATGAGGATCAAGACTTCTCTTGATAACTTCCTCTGGGGTGACCATCATTCGCTTACACAGAGCATCTTCTATGGCAAGGGGATCACACCTAAAACAAAGAATTTCGGTCATTACTAGAGATTGTTACAGAAATGGCCATCAAGTTGGAAAACTATAAGGCCCATATGATACATGAGCAGTTCTGATGTCATTTGGAGATGAAAGGCAGATTGTTCGTCTTTAAGAAACGACGAGTCAGCTTCTTCTCCCTTGGAAAATTCAATGTTACCAAGATGGAGAATGGCAGCCACAACTCTGAAAATTGCATCCTGAGGAGACAAAAGGAGCGGAATTATTCTTTTTAACAATTAAGAGGTGGTATGGCAGGCATATCGGAAAGGAGAAAGACCAGACCTGTTCATTCTCACTTATTCCAACCACATTCATAGCCCTTCTGGTAGCAAGATACTCTTGTGCATCATTTACACCATCAAGTTCATAGCAGCTAGACTGATTAAGATAGCGAAACGACTTAGGATCTCCCAACTTGTACCGCTCAATATCCTGCAGAATTTAGTCTCATTTGTTACAAGTAAGGACTATATGGTTAAGGGTGCGGGGGAACTGAGATAGTCTACCTGTGGTGGGGCTGCACAAAGAAGATAAAAGCAGTGGTAGTTACGTTCAGGATCTGAAATTTGGCAAACACGAGACCTTTCTAGAAGGTAAGTTCTGATGGCGGCCCCTGATATTTGGCCCAAGTCATCAAATTGAATCTCCACGAATTTCCCAAAACGACTGGAACAAGAGAAGGTGACATGAATTTCTCTGTTGCTAACCAGTAGGGTAAAAAAAGCGAGCAGGAAAGGGGAAGGAGAAAGACAATGGAGGACCTGGACAATCAAGCTTTATGTTTACCTGGAATTGTTGTTCTTAACAGTCTTTGCATTTCCAAAAGCCTCGAGAACTGGATTTGACTGTAAGACCGACCATTGGTTAGAAATAAACTAGATCCAAAACTAAAAGACGAAGTAGACTAGCAACACAATATAAATAAGCAGGAGCAGGATATCTACTTTTGCAAACCAAATAATCAGGAAAGCATAAAACAACCGAAAGAACTCCTCTCAAGAGCAAGTGTAAGGGGAAGGAACTCCGAAGCATTGGCCTTTCTTTCTCATTAACAGCTAGAAGATCATTATTTAGGTGGTAAGAAAGAAGTAAATCAACCAAGTTTGGACAGACTTCAGAATTTCTAGCAACTTGGATCATCAGAACTTACTTCCAGAACTTGCTTTTCAACTGTTCGCCCTTCAGCTGCAGCATGTCCTCCCAAGTATGCAAGGTAGCGCATGAGCATTTTAGTGGTCTCCGTCTTTCCAGACCCACTTTCACCGCTGACCAATATGGACTTATTCCTGCCCTCATTAACCATTTCCCTGTTTCAAATTTATTCAAACTAATAAACAAAACCATCTCCGACACTTTCATGGGAAATGATTACAAGAATGAACAATTACAAGCTTGCACTCACCGAAATGCAACACCACCAATCGCAAAAACATGAGGGCTCGTGTCTTTGAATGAGGCCTCTCTATACTTCTCCATAATGTCAACACCATAGAGATGTGGGAGTCCTTGAAAGGGATTGATGGCGATAAGAATGTTTCCTGTATAGGTCTGTCATGATGTCAAAATATTATAATAAACCTCTATACATGTGTTAACTAATGGTTCCTACCAAAACCAAAGACCAAGACAAAAAAAAATCGTCTTACATAAATCTCATCTATCTCATATCTGGTGGCCAAGTTGTGGAGAACTGCAGGCTCATGCAAATAAGACAGTTTTGTCATGTCCTCTACTCCCTCTGCAGGAGCTTCGACGTCCTTTGGATAAAGTCTTGATAAATTAGCAACAACCTGAGCAGTACAAGAGAGTGTGAAGCAGAGGTAAGCAAAACAAAATAGCACCCATTAGAGACTGAAGTGGCATTTGACAAAAAAAAAAGAAAGATTGAAACCTGTGCATGGAGAAAAAAAATGATCAAATTTCCAACCATTCACCTCTAAATTATATAAGGCATGAAAGCCCCATTATTCAACGATGAGGACGAGTCATTAAAGAAAGACAAAAGCAATAGGACTGAGAATACTGTTAGATAACTGATGAATCATGCTTTACCTCTTTGCCATCACCGGTTTTAACCTCTGCTTCATCCCCCTTGATATTTAGTACAACCCCATCAGTCCATGCTATTTCTGTATCTTCAACCCAAACATGGGAATCCACAGCTATATTTGCAGCCATTCACTGAGAATTTCTAATATTAAGTAAGTACCACAAACTTTTTCAAGATCCCAACCTACAGATTAAAAGAGGAATATGTTATGACACATACAACAGATGCAAGTGCAGGTATGGAAGTTTATTCTTTCTTCATTTCTTACATAAACATGCAATTCCTTGTGCATCTGACCAATGAAAATCTCGATTCCCCACATTATAGAATCCTAACGCGCACAATTTTTTCTGGAATAATTGAGCTTTCAGCTCTTGCATAGTAAAGAGCGTTACTAAGACCTTCCAAAAGGCTAACCTTCAACCAGCCCTTACTCAAATATCACTGAGATCTCTGACCGTTTTGGCATTGTAACTATAGAAATACAATAATCCATCTAAACGGAGAGCCCTCAAATCACATTTTGCTACTTGATGTAAGGATATGAAAAAGAGAATCAATCTCCACAAAGATATGAACACAAGCAGTACCCTCAAACACGCAAAACATCAACAATCCGGATCGACGAAGCTAGATGAGCCTCAGAACACGAATCTTAAGAGAACATTCGGGCAAGATGAGGGATTTAAGCATCCGAAGAATACCGAACCGACGAGTGCGGGAAATGGGTTGACGTCTTAGCTTGTTTGTTCTTCTTCACGTCGTCTTCTTCTCGCTTGTAGCATGGCCGTGACGAATGATTTTTCTCTCTCTCTCATGGCGCGTCATCGGTTTCTGCAGGGAGTGACGCACAAACTTCCCTTGGATTTCGCCATTCCTGTGGCTGTGGACGCCACTGTCTCTCTCCTTCCCTCCCAATTTTGGCGGAGAAACCCTCACTTTTTATACCATTGTCCATGTCACCTCCCGGATCCGACATGAACCCGAACCCACCCAACCCAGGAATCGAAAAGTTCCAATTTTTATAGAATTCTCCTAATTTCAACAATTGATTGTTCCAGAGGAACTTCCATGCCGGGCAAGTTCCGCCAATGTTCGGTCCTAAAACCCTGTCCCTTTTCCGTGAGAAAAAAAAAAAACTAGCTTTATCTTACAGTCGTAGGTGTAAACCCCGGTTTTTTTCTTTGGCATATTTCTGAAAAGACCAGTTTTTTTTCTTTTTCTTCTTCGTCACGATGGAATCAAAGACTTCGAGCAGGGGGGACGGCTCTGCAGTTGGTGAACTAGGAACCCTAGCTCTGAGAACCATCTGCAAACCCATCTCGGACCGCCTAAAGAAAGAAGCTGGAATTCGGCCGAGATTCCGACAGTTCATCATCACGATTGCCCAGGACCTCGGGACCTGTCCCCTTCCGATCATGGGTTGTCCTGAACATTGACATGGCCGGCTGATCATGTCTGAGAAATGATGCTTTTGATCTGGTACTTGAAAATGTTTGTTCGTCTCGAGATATTGGTGGAGGGCTTTTGGATTTTGGATCTTCTTAAGGCTTTCAAATGGTGAATCTTGCGTCATAAAGCTTCGTCGTTTCCCTTCAGCAAAATTTTAGGTCAGATCACACTGGAAATTTCAACCCAATCAGGCCTTAGACCAGCGTGTTAACTTCAAGTACGGTAGAGCTACTCGCCCTTTAAACGAGGAGGGAGAGAGCCATCGAGGCTGCCGCAGATCTTCTCGAGGGAACTTTTTCGTATACGCATCTTCTTCTTTCGGGTATTACATCGCTAGTTTATCTGAAATTGCAATCTCTCAGTTACAAATCTCCGCCTGTCTTCTTGGTCGGGTTCTTGAGATGATACTGTTCTGTTCATTCAAAGTCTTGCTCTTCAGGCAAGAACCGTAGAAGCGATGAGTTAAAGAAGGAGATTGGAGAGATCAGGCGGAAAATGACTTATTTAAAGAAAGATTTCAGAAATTGATTTTTTTAAGATTTTTTTTTTTAAATCTTTGCAGTTTCCGTTGGAGATTCTTTATCCGGAACTTGGAGATAACTACACCGTATTTAACCGCAGTTAAGATTTCCCGACAAATGAAACTGCAGTCACGTTGCTTCTGCTTCCCACTTTTATTATATAATAAATTATTTTTAAAATTTTTGAATAATAATAATAATATTAATAAAATAAATTAATAAAATGCTGTGATTTATTGAATGTGTGATACGAAACCCTATTTCTTTTCACTCTTTTCATTTTTTCTTAATCTTCAACTGCAATATATATATATAATAATGTTGCAGTGAAACATGTACGAAATCGATACGGAAAATGTCTTTGCAGTTCCTTAGTTTTTATGTCGGTGTCGTTTTCGGTGATCTTGGTAATTTTCATTTGTATGCTCCTTTTTCATTTTCCTTTTTATTTAATCTTTATGAGACGATATTTTTATGCTGTTAGATGCATTTCTGACGGAAAATCCATTATTTTATTTTCAAGGACTCTGCCCTTAAAATTGGTATTAAATAATTTTTTTTCTTTATAGAATTCCGCATAATATTTTTTATATTTTCTGGTTCAGACTACATTACATTATTCACATCAAATCCTAGGATCAGACACATTTGATCATTCCAATGTTCTAAAAAAAATAGCTGAGGCCTTTTTTTTCCTAAATGATGTACCTATTCAACAATTAGAATTTAAAATAGCATCTTTTACGAGTAATTTGCTGGTTTTGTCGGTTGTTAACCGGTTATATATTGATAATGTGGAATTACACATATAGAAGCACTTTATATAAAGTGGAATAATCAATAATAATGTGATTTTTGTAACCACAATTTTCCACGTGTGATTTGTGAGATGTAGAACATTCTAAGCAATGGGTCCAATTTCATCTTCACCGTCTTCAAAAGAAATTTTGTTAGGATGCAAACATCTATCATTTTTTTTTTTTTTTGAGAGAGAGAGAGAGGAAACGCACATGCAATGCAAGCACACTTTAGCAGGAACGTGTATTAATTGGCAAGCACTATCTTGACAAGGGAAGATGGAACCATTACTCCTATATTAACTATTATTAATTAATTCCTCAGTTCGATTATACTCTTAATTTAAATTATAAGTAAAGGTTAATTATCTCTCTCTAATCATCAATCATAGCATATATTCCGCACTTTTCCAATTTAACTACTAACTAAATTCCACATATTTTTTTATTTGTTCATTTATTTTCATATATAGGCCGAAGTTGCCTCGAAACTAACTACATCTCCTCTTCATAACAAGATTTTGATAAAAAAAAAAAAAAAGTTTGATAATAAGGATCATGTCTCCGCATCATGATCTTTGATTGTTGGAAGTTATATATAAATAAACTGCATATTCTTAGGGTAATAATTGAAGCATGAGTGAGGAGAAAATGGTGGGTTGGGTGTGGTTTTCGGACAAAGCAGATCACGTGGCCTGACACATGAACATGATTCCTTCTTCTTCCTTTTGCTTTGCCTTTCACAGACAGCTCATCTCTCTTCCCATTATAGTCCTTTTTATTCTTCCTTTTTGCATTTTCGCCCATAATATATTAGTGTTGAATTTCGATGGGGATCATCTTGTTATTTTGAGTATACACGCGTGAATCATGAAGATTATATATATAAGTTACGACGAAGTTAAACGCATTTCGATTCGCGTTTTGATATTTCCTCTTTTCGGCTAATGCACATATATATATATATATATATGTATTCAGCGTTTGATAAGATATACTATATATGCATCTTGATCCGTCGATTCAATCCCTAGAAGCTACAATGATATATATTCACGTCATGTGAAAATTTAATAACGACTAGAGAGGTACGCAATCTAGCTATACCGGCGTGAGAGTTTTCGGAACACGCAGAAACTCGACATGCAATACGTTTTTATGTATAAAAGAAGATGATAAACGTTCTATAACCGCGAGGTGGGCGTGGCGTGCATGATAGTTCAAAGGAGCACGGGAATGAATGTTTTAGGGAGGATGGCATATATATATATATATAATATGCATATACATAATGGGAAGACTGTATATGTATAAAGGGTCACAGGGGCACGTGCTCCTGATTCTCGATCGCTCCTCTTTGGATTGAAATCATACTGCGGGGGGCGACTTTCCAGTAATACCGATTGAAACCTCTCTACCAACCAGCTGTTTCATAGCTGTCCGATCTCTCTCTCTCTCTCTCCCCCCCCCCCCCC